GTTTTAAAGTGTCAAACTGTTCGTGACATTAAACATTGACAGGATCCTGTTCATCTGACGCTAGTGTTTCATGTTAAGGTAAATTTAGTGTCGGTTTTGTGGCGGTAATTTAGGCCACTTGTACGACCTCGCAGACCAAGTTACCGTAAACACAGTTAATATTGTACAGACGCTTCTTTCAGTGTCAGATCACCCATCTCATGAAAATATAATTATAAAGATATTACCCTCGTGTGTTTCCGTGCCGTAGTAGATAGAATATATTAGCAATTTAGAATATGTATTATCCTCTCCTTGAGTATAATGCATATTTATACGGAAACACACAGGGGTAATCCTTTTTCATATAATCATTTTTAAAGTAATGGATGTTTAAAAGGTAATTCCACTTGACGAAGTAAGTGTAGAAACTGCGCATAACTGCAATAAAACGCAGCAATTGCGCCGACACATTGCAAAAACCCATCTTAGCATATTGGGATGTTAGTTAATCGTTTATTGCGTGAGTGAGTGAGTTAAAATTCAACGTCGCTTCGGCATTATTTCAGCCATATCGCGACGCGAACACTTTGATATAGCGAACAAACGGATACAACGAAATGTTAAAAAATCCCCGATTTATCTCCTATATAATATCATATAACATTTACGTATATAACGAACTCTCTACAGCGAACTAAGGGATACAGCGAACTGATATCTGATCACCGACAAGCCCATCTATCACTAATTAGTGACGTGTATAGCGAACTGAGAAATCTCACTCAGTGTCAAGTGTCACTGACAATTGGCTGTACGCAATCAGTGGCGAATCAATACAATCAGCGGTGACGGATCAACCTTGTTAAATTTGCATTGTGTTAATCTTACCTGTACATGTAATCTTGTCTGTAAAACAAACATTAATCATAAAAAAATTACGAGATTGTGTCCAAGTGTCAGATCACTTGCATATGCTATCATGGCGGGCAATAGTAAGAGGAAAGCTATCAGTTTAGACACGAAATTGAGAATTATTAATGCTGTTGATCCAAGATGGCGGACGTTTCCGAGTGAAAACGTGTATAACGAACAACGGATATAACGAACTGATTTCTCTGGTCCCTTGTAGTTCGTTATATCCGTGTTCTACTGTATTTACAATTGAGTCATGATTACAAAGTTATATTTAAAAACAAATTTAACAAACATTTTTTATCATAACAACATTATTTACAACTGTTTAATACAGCGACTATAAGCCACCATGCATCAATCTAAGCTAGGCCACCTCGCTAGGGATCATGGGAACTTACGGGGGCTCACCTTCCTGCGCGCAACCCCAGCAGGATTTACGTCATCACTTTATCTGCTGGTGGTCGGGCACAATACTAGCCAATATTAAAAATTGTTCAGCAATGAGTTGGCTTAACACACATGGATTGTGATAGGAATTACGTGTCACACAAGGGGACTATCATTTTACCGCACTTTAACCGCCTGGACAGAGCCTTCAATAATCTCTATTGAATGTTTAAAAAGGAATTAGTAAATTCACATACACATTTATAATTTATGATACAGGTCAATTTCTTTCAGGTAGCTTAGAATCAGATACTTGCTCACACGGAATAAGAGATCTGTCGGATTTACTGTTTGATCACGTGAAACCCTTGCAATTGGAAAATCCACACAGTCAAGCAAAATATGCTTGACGGTGAACCTTTCATCACAAGGAATACACTTAGTTCTCACAATCGCCTTTAGAAAAAGAGGGTATCGCATAGATGTATGTAGCGAGAGAGTAGTGCCAGCAAGGTGACCTCATTTGCATATTTATCGGATCATGACACCAAGTTTATCGGATTGGTCTCTCGCATCGATAACACAAGCCCAGTATATGATAAATCTGTTGTCCAACTATGTGGACCTATGTGTTTGGTCGCAACAATGGCCCTAAACGTGGATATTTCAATAGTGTTAGTCAAGTATTCGAGAGCGGGCGAGTAGGTGAATGTTGTTTTGCGCCGTAGTATAATATATTAACGCTATATCAATATCAGCAGCAACAATCAAAGGCACTAAAGTACAGGGTACTGCCTGGGCCATTCATCACCGGAATCACACCAGGCTGAAAGTGAGTTAGTGAGTGAGTATGGCTTTACGCCGATTTTAGCAATATTCCATCAACATCACGGCGGGGAAAACCAGAAATGGGCTTCATACATTGTGGCCATGTGGGGAATCGAACCCGGGTCTTCGGTGTGACGAGCGAACGCTTTAACCACTAGGCTACCCCACCGACCCACGAGGCTGAAAGGAAGCCACTCGCCCATTGATCTTGGATAATTGATTATGTATTGTAGTTTTCTTTCAATCAATTACAAAACACATGTGTGCTTGGTAAATTACTGAAGAGGGTGAGTGAGTGATCATGGTTTTTACGCCTCATATAACAACACTCCCGTCATGTCGCGATAGACACCAATAAGACCCGCGAAGAACCGGGGTAGAATAGGTCTTCAGCAACCATGTTTGCCATTATTGGTGACTATGCTTGTCGTAAGAGGCGACTAACGAAATCGCTTACTTGGTTGATGCATGTCATCGTATCCCAATTGCGTGGATCGATGCTCATGATGTCAATCACTGGATTGTCTGGTCCAGACAGGATCATTTACAGACCGCCCTCATATAGCTGGAATATTGCTGAGTGCGGCGTTAAACAACAAACAAACAAAACAAAACAAACAAAGACACCAATACGGGGCTTCACACACTGAACCCACTAAACCTAGTGATATGTTTGGCTGAGTGTGTGGCCACACTTAAGGGTGTAGTACATGCATTCTGTATTTTCTCATACAGGCCGTAAGTAAAACATTACACTGAAACCTGAGTGAGTGAGTGAGTGAGTTGGGTTTAACGCCGCTTTGAATGGTATTCCAGTTGTATCAGGGCGTGTCAGCGTGATGTGGGAGGAGAGCCCAATGTGATGCTGGTCCTGAACGCATCCCACTCTGGTGAAACCCACTGGCACGGGTTGGTTCTCAGGGCGAATCTGGGATTCGAACCCATCATCCACATATGGAGGAAACACATGAGATCAACATAAAGGATATAGCTTTAACAACTTTTGCCCTGGTTTCCAGTGAACCTAGTTTTCTTTCAGTTTTCATCTTAGGGGCGGAACTTAGATTTCTAGTGGGGGTAGTGGATTCATAAAAAAACCCAGCTCATAATTGTGTAAATAAAAAACTCAGCCTCCATCTGCTCGATAAACAGAACTCCGCCTCAATAAAAAGGCTCGACCGCAATATGGCCATCCTCATCAATACAGAGTATTTCGTGAGCAAAGCCTTGATCTTTGACAGAGAGACATCACCACGAAAGACAATATGTCCGTAACCCTTATTTATTAACAATCATTTCAAATCTTCCATGTCAAGAGGCCACATCATGCAAGTCACTGTGTTGTATCCCTGGACATTGTTATTTTCTCCACTTGTCCTTGTCCCACTGTGACATGATAGAAACAGTTGTTGACTGTGATGTGTATTGACCATTAAGCATGATTTACCCTTACTTGGAAAAAAACCCAATACAACATAAACATATATATAAATAAAAATAGTTTATTGCAATAACCTAAACTGACGAACAAAAGAAACGTTACCAACCAACATCGTTTGTTCCTAAAAACAGAACTGGACCAATGTCAAGGAAAATACTTATATTGTCAAAAGACATGAATTAAATACCATTACATGTTAACACACCCACACAAGTAACGTGTAACATAGTTAACTTCTACAATACACATACACATACATGTACATTGCATACAAACATATACTAATATACAGTAAACTACGGTTATAACGAACACGCTTATAACGAACTGACGGATATAACGAACTCACTTTTTTGGTCCCGACTATTTGCTGTAGTTATGCTGTATATATGGTTATAGCGAACTACGGTTATAACGAACTAAAATTAGTAGTCCCATTGAGTTGGTTATAACCGTACTTTACTGTACACACAAATATCGATAGACCCATACAAATGTTGCACATAGAGACCTCCACCCCCTTAAATCACATAAATTTAATTGAACATATCTATCTTTCTATCTATCTATCTATCTATCTATCTATCTATCTATCTGTCTGTCTGTCTGTCTGTCTGTCTGACACACACACGCGCTCGCACACCCACCCACAGACATACATGCATATGTTTTTTCGTTAATTACTTTCAAGTAATATCGGGGTTGGATGGGGGTAGGTTTGTGTTTAGGATCTAAACACATATTTTACAGTGTATTTTGATGGTAAATGCGACCACTGTAATATGCATGTCGTGTCTGCTTACTTTAAGTGTCCTTTCAAAAATCACGATTGTGTCATATAGATTCACAACATTGTCAGTGATTTGTTTTCATTTTAATATTATTGGTACCATACGTTTTACATGTCTATGGGTAAACTATGATATTATACATGAGCTATCAGGGTTAGGAAATTACATGAATGAGAACTTGTATATGATTTGTTGTCTATATCTTTAGGGTGTTAATAATACGAATAATTATGACAACAATTAAAATTTGTTTTCGTCCTTCTTTGTTACTTGTCTACATGCTCTCCGCTGTCCAAACATTGGAGTTTGTGCACGGAGTATTACACGACGATAACATGTGTCTAGACATTATGATCAGTAAACTGAAAAAAAAGAGAGACTTTGTATCATCATTTAACTACACTCATAACGGTGTGTGGTGGGTGTTATTTGTCTCAGATGGATGTTTTCATGAATGAATTATTTCTTCATATATAATTTCTGTGATGTTTGGGAATATATTTGTGTAGTAAAATAAAATGCAAACTATCTTTCACCTTTTAACAGAAACTCGGGATTTAGCAAAGAGCAAGCGCATCCATTTTTTTACCGTATTATTGATGCCAGCACGCTGTATGGAGTTCGGTTAATACCTCACACTTCCGGTTGAATGGCGGAGTAACGAAGAAACAGTGATGGCGGACCATGTGATGCATGAATTAGAACAGGCCTCACAAGTTGTGTTGGTGAGTCTGAGACTTCAGTTATAAGTCGAGAAAACTAAATACTCTCTGGTAATCATTATACTCTTGTAATATGTCTACGTTAAACAAGCACTCGGTCTATTTTCAAAGCAATCTTGTCTTGTGACAAACGTGTTTGGTCGCACCTGTTGTCATTGAAATCAGTTTACTGACACACACAGGTAAATGATTGCCTCAAGTGCACCCTTTTGTATGCTCGGTGCGTTTTAATTAAGTTAAATGTTTATTCCTTACATTTCATTTGTTTTCCACAATATATTTATACCCGACTGATTGACTACCATGCCCGTTTTCAACAACCTTTAAAAGTAAACAAAAGTTGATTTTTGGATTCAAGCTATGTTTTTTTCTGTGATTTTAATGTTTTCAGTGTAATGTGGGAAATATATAATTTCTTGAATCCAGCTGCAGTTGTACATTGTAACTAGAAGAGTGAGAGAGAACCATGCACTGTCATGAGTGTTGTGTCGTTGCTGAATCATAGCGGATAGTCATAGTAGTAACGACAGTTGATATCAATATCATGCTTACTGTAATACCCTTAGACAAAGCTGGATCCTTCGATCCATACTTGCTTTTCCAAATGGCTCGTAATAAGTATTAGGGTAATGTCTGCATCAACACACTAGCTCCATCAATCCTTTGATCATATTGATGGATTTTCTTCACATTCCTTTAGTCTGTATGTTATAATCTCACAATGATACTTCTTAGTAAACTATGAAGCTTAATAAGATCACCGATATTCGACAGGATCAAACTTTGCACTGCCCAATTATTATGCAAATTCATATTTTTTCCACTTGCCTGTATATGATGACAGTCAAGTTATGATTCAAATGATATGGAAATAGACTTTAAAATGCATTATCAAGTTCATGCATGTATTTGTACTTCAGTCACCTAATTATGTAAATTTACAAGTGTACTTTTATCTTTGGTGTGGGGAGCTTATATAAGCGGTGTCATATGATTATGATTGAGACATGAAATGCAGATTGTAAATCAGCACAATCATGTCCAAGGAAAGGTTTACTGTACTGAACATGTTGAAAAAGGAAATATTTTCACCAAAGATGAAAAACAATTTCATTTCATCACGGATGCAAAAAGGACAAGGCTCCTTTTTCATGCTGAGTATGTAAAACCAAAGCCACAATGTGTTACATGTGTCATATGCAAGAGTTGGCACAGTTGACTGTAAAAAAACAAAACAACAAAAAACATTCATTAGAGACACTGCTACAGGGATTCCTGAGCACAAAGTAATATTTACATGACCTATTGTCATCAGACATCCAAGTGCTTGGTAGATCATACATGTACTTGGAATCAAGGCACAACTTCTTTTCAAAGAATTTGTAGGTCGATATACAGTAAAGTACGGTTATAACGAACTCAAAGGGACTACTAATTTTAGTTCGTTATAACCGTAGTTCGTTATAAGCATATATACAGCATAACTACAGCAAACAGTCGGGACCAAAAAGTAAGTTCGTTATATCCGTCAGTTCGTTATAAGCGTGTTCGTTATAACCGTAGTTTACTGTATGTGACAATTAGAATTTTCTTTATGAATGTGAGTTTTGTTTGTTGATCGCTAATCTGTATTTCGAAATCATAGTTTGAAAAGTTAATAATATAAAAAACAACTTTGTGATGTGTGATGGTGATCATGGTGATGACCTCGCTGGGGTCATGTTATCTCATAAAACAATGTTAAACAAGTATGTGCATAAAAAACCACCAGAACTCAAATTCACCTTCCTTATGAGCATGCATTGTATTTAGAGGACATTAAAGTTTGTTTACAGCTATCCAGGTACATTTAAATTCAGTCAGGTGCGTCATGTACACAGTGTTGGTGGCCAATCTGGCTGTTTTTACACCAACTTCTTATGAGTCTGATTCATTGTAAACTAAGACACTAATTCATCCCTGAACTATCAAAACATTCAGTAAAACTGTTTGTTAAAAAAACAACACTGGTATTTACCCAATTGGAGGGTAGATTCACTCATCTGGAGAGACTAAGATCTTCAACATTAGTCGCAGTATGGCACGACCGTTTCGACGGTGTCACAACCCTTTATCCTGCTCCCTCTGCTTTGTGTATTTCATCTCTTGGGCATGATTGATAGCTTTGACAAAGCGTTAGAAGAGATGCCGAGCAGTTGTACTATATCATCCATGGGTCTTGTAGAGTCGATTGACTGGAGACCCTTCCAGGACTATTGAAAGTGACAGTCATTCATGTAACCATGGTAACAATTCATACGTGAAAACAGGTTCCGCATGATATACCGTATTCGACGTAATAAGCGCCCCGCTCTAATAAGCGCCCACGGCGACATTTGCTAAGATATTGGCTAGTGAACAATCCCAATTCGCACTACTTCCGATTGATCAATGTACACATTTATTCGCGTATAATACACACTCGTGTGTTATATGCACCCTTAATTATGGGCATTTAATTCTGGAAAAATATATCTGTCGTACAGAAACATTTCAGGCTGTCAGCATAAAACACAAAATTTATCTTTCAACTCTGTATTTTTCACCAAAGTAACATTCTAATAAGAGCCCCCTATTTCTAATTTTGAGAGCGCCCTGGGTGCTTATTACGTCTAATATGGTACCCGATTTCATGCTGTTGCGTCCAAATAATGTATTATGATCGTTTCACCAGCTTTGGTGTGTTTTCCTGCTCCCGAGTTATTGTCTTTAAGATGCTAGGCAGTGTTATAAATATTTGATTAAATTCACTGTTTAGCACCAGCTTCCTCGTGTACGTCTCATGGTTGTAGTCTATTACAGGCTAGGGTATCTGCACCCAACCATCCAACTGTAAATGCATAGTGTGAGAGAGGATAAGTTTAAAAATGTGGAAATTTTATTGCAAGTTGTATATTTATATACTTATCCTATCTCACACATTATATGCCCTCCCAACCATTTCCGCATCACAATAACTCCGCCCCGTTAGCTCTGACATAAGATGAATGATGTGGCAGGGTTAATCACCTGATTAGGTCATGTAGGTCGCTACACCAGTGTTCCCACTGGCTTTAGGAACTGCCAGTCTTAGTGGACTGGTAACTCTAAAAATTACCTGTCTGCCCCCCCCCTTACACACAAATTACACAAATTTTTGTCAGTACCAACTTTAAACATAAAAAAAACCGTATGAAAATTCCCTGTTTTTTATTCTTTCAACATCCCGTTCATTTCATCTCGGAACATGCTGAAGTGACTTAGTTAGATCTGCACATCATTCACTCAAAGTTCAGGCACAATAATCTCCTTTTATTTTAATATTTCAAGACGAAGTCACTACAAATATATTTTTAACCTCGAAGGAAAGCGAAATGTTATTTCCTTGTTCTAAAAATAGACAAGGGGAAACCCTGATGGTAACAGACAACCTGACTTCATTCGAAAAATATACTTATAGGAATATCACAGATTTATAAGGTACTCTATTTGCCAGTCACATGAATAATTTTATTGGTAAAAAACTGGTAATTACTGGTAAATGGGAACACTGTAGGCACGGTAGTACAGAGCGTGACATATTTGTTTTGGGTAGTGACCATGGTGATGCTTGGATGAGTTTGGGTGAATTGTTTTTTAGCAGCTGGAAACTCTGTTCAAGCACGTTTCCACATGGGACCAAAGAAGAAATCAGAGATGCATAGTTTGATATAGGATAAAGATATGAATATACAAAATACAATTTAAAATAAAATTTCCATTTTGTTTATGTCCTTTATTTTCACATATTACACCCATGTTCATAATTTGACACGTTTGAAAATGTCGGTGACTCCACTGTGTCTGTGTCTGTGTTCACAGGCTGCTCCTAACATCGTGACTCCAGACCAGAGACAAGCTGCTGAGAGAGTCATCTTGGATTTCCGCAAACGGAAACTACCGTACAGCATTTGTAGATACATTCTAGGTGAGCTGATAACCGACACTAGAATTTCATATGATCATGATAAATTGATAATCACAAGCAGTAATAATAAATTGGATGTTTAATATGAGATGTTTGTTTCAAAGGTTAAGCTGGATCGAGGATCAAAATCACATTACCGGCTTGAAGCTAAGCTAGGCGAAAGAGTTCATCTAATTAGCAGACACTTCAACACAGGAAAACTGGTGCTATCACAGATAATAATTGTTTGTTTGCCAAGTGATCAGCACCCGATTGTTTACCATTTCTCCGAAACTTGATACAAATTGTACAGATTTCCTCACTCACAGTGGATTAAGTCAATAAAAGTGATAGCTAACCCATACACTACCTGACAATTAACGCCAAGGATCGTAAAGGGGTGCCTATTCCAAAGGATCAGTAAGGGGTGTTTGATTGACAAGTGGTGCACATCCCTAAGGATCATGAAGGGGTGTTTGGTCTGAAAGGGGATACCGATAGAGTTGGGAGACATGCTGGATCTGACAGTAGAGCTGATGACACCTGACGGTAGAGCAGATGACAGCTGACAGTAGAGTTGCTGACAGTAGAGCTGATGACACCTGACAGTAGAGCTGATGACACCTGACAGTAGAGCAGATGACAGCTGACAGAAGAGTTGCTGACAGTAGAGCTGATGACACCTGACAGTAGAGCTGATTACAGCTGACAGTAGAGTTGCTGACAGTAGAGCTGATGACACCTGACAGTAGAGCAGATGACAGCTGACAGTAGAGTTGCTGACAGTAGAGCTGATGACAGTAGAGCTGATGACACCTGACTGTAGAGCAGATGACAGCTGACAGTAGAGCTGATGACACCTGACGGTAGAGCAGATGACAGCTGACAGTAGAGTTGCTGACAGTAGAGCTGATGACACCTGACAGTAGAGTAGATGACACCTGACAGTAGAGCTGCTGACAGTAGAGCTGATGACACCTGACAGTAGAGCTGATGACACCTGACGGTAGAGCAGATGACAGCTGACAGTAGAGTTGCTGACAGTAGAGCTGATCACACCTGACAGTAGAGCTGATGACACCTGACAGTAGAGCAGATGACAGCTGACAGAAGAGTTGCTGACAGTAGAGCTGATGACACCTGATAGTAGAGCTGATTACAGCTGACAGTAGAGTTGCTGACAGTAGAGCTGATGACACCTGACAGTAGAGCAGATGACAGCTGACAGTAGAGTTGCTGACAGTAGAGCTGATGACACCTGACAGTAGAGCAGATGACAGCTGACAGAAGAGTTGCTGACAGTAGAGCTGATGACACCTGACAGTAGAGAAGATGACAGCTGACAGAAGAGCAGATGACAGCTGACAGTAGAGTTGCTGACAGTAGAGCTGAAGACACCTGACAGTAGAGCAGATGACAGCTGACAGAAGAGTTGCTGACAGTAGAGCTGATGACACCTGACAGTAGAGCTGATTACAGCTGACAGTAGAGCAGATGACAGCTGACAGTAGAGTTGCTGACAGTAGAGCTGATGACACCTGACAGTAGAGCTGATGACACCTGACAGTGGGGTTGCTGACAGAAGAGCTGATGACAGCTGACAGTAGAGCTGATGACAGCTGACAGTAGAGCTTATGACACCTGACAGTAGAGCAGATGACAGCTGACAGAAGAGTTGCTGACAGTAGAGCTAATGACACCTGACAGTAGAGCTGATTACAGCTGACAGTAGAGCAGATGACAGCTGACAGTAGAGTTGCTGACAGTAGAGCTGATGACACCTGACAGTAGAGCTGATGACACCTGACAGTGGGGTTGCTGACAGAAGAGCTGATGACAGCTGACAGTAGAGCTGATGACACCTGACAGTAGAGCTGATGACACCTGTCAGTAGAGTTGCTGACAGTAGAGCTGATGACACCTGACAGTAGAGCTGATGACACCTGACAGTAGAGCTGATGACACCTGACAGTAGAGCTGATGACACCTGACAGTAGAGTTGCTGACAGTAGAGCTGATGACACCTGACAGTAGAGCTGATGACACCTGACAGTAGAGCTGCTGACAGTAGAGCTGCTGACACCTGACAGTAGAGCTGATGACACCTGACAGTAGAGCTGATGACACCTGACAGTAGAGCTGCTGACACCTGACAGTAGAGCTGCTGACAAGCTGATGACACCTGACAGTAGAGCTGATGACACCTGGCAGTAGAGCTGCTGACAGTAGAGCTGATGACGCACGCATACACTCACGTCACTATATAAGTGCAGTAATCTTGAGCACGATATGAAACCTCTCACATTACCACTTCCACTTCAATTCCAACCATGGGATGTTCTGCCTGCAGAGACCAGCAAGAGTGACTATGTGCTGTTCCAGTCGGCCACTACCATCAAGGAGGGGATTGTGAGAGAATGGACATTGTTGTCATCTGAGGATGTGGAATCACTCCGTTCTTTCCTGCTTGGATACATTACAAAGAATATCAGGTATATGGTTGGAGAGAAAGGAGGGAAGTGAACTCCTGTAAACTGTTTTCTATTTGCAATGTTTCTCAGAAAATATGTAACAGGTTTATTTCATTTATTTAGTAATCATGGTAATTATGAATTTTAAGTGATTCCATTGCATTTTTTTGCTACCCACATAATTATTTTTGCGTTTGTGTGCCCTTAAACCCCAAAACTGATTAGGTCATACTCAACAGCGTAATACTGTTTCTTGATTGGCTGAAAATATTGGCTGAGCTTGGGATGCATTTATGCGCTGAACCATGTCCCACTGATTTTGTATCATTGTCTACAGTTTTTTGTGTTAATAATATTGTGATAAAATATGCAGTCTATGAAGTTATTCGTGTTCTTTTGCATTTATCGAAGTATTTTGCCAAATTTTGCGTAGGGGGCACACAGGTTTTTTCATTTATACTTTCATAAATGCAGAAAAAAGTTGAATTCTGTTCTTAAATATTTAAAATGATAGGTATATTAACACCAAAACAAACTCAGGTGATAGACATATTTAAAAGTCAATTTTGACATAGGTCTATAGAGCTGTGTGATTGAATTTTGATAATGAATGGGCAAATAATCTGGTCTACAGTTTAGTCATCTTCCGGAAGCAAGAGCATCCACTAGCCTTTTGTTTTGCGTGCCATAGTCCAATTGTGTTTAGTACAGGAAAGTGGACTTGATGTGGCAAGGGTGGAAACAAGGCTTTGATAAAAGAAAGGCCAGTAGATGCTCTTGCCTCAGGACGATGCATCTTAGTAGACTGTATACAGGACAAAGGTTAGAAGATGATGTTGAACTGTGGAATGGTTTAGATTGTATCAGTAAATTAAGGGTTACTTTTCACTGTGAAAAATGACAAGTCATTCTTCACTTGTTATCCATTCGAGGCTACACAAGAATTTGTAATTAATTTAATGTGAAGTAGGAGATTGAGTGTTGTGGTATCTGTGTGTTATGTATTTTTTGTGTGATGGTATTTGTGTATTTGTGTGTTATGGTATTTGAGTGTTATGGTATTTGAATGTTATGGTATTTGTGTGTCATGGTATTTAAATGTTGTGGTATTTGTGTGTTAGGGTATTTGAGTGTCATGGTATTTGTGTGTTATGTTTTTTTGTGTGATGGTATTCGTGCGTTAGGGTATTTGAGTGTTAGGGTATTTCATTGTTAGGGTATTTGAGTGTTAGGGTATTTCATTGTTAGGGTATTTGAGTGTTAGGGTATTTGTGTGTCATGATATTTGAGTGTCATGGTATTTGAGTGTCATGGTATTTGAGTGTCATGATATTTGAATGTCATGATATTTGAATGTCATGATATTTGAATGTTACATTATTTGAGTGGTATTTGAGTGTTATAGTAATTGAATGTTGTGGTATTTGAGTGTAACTTATGGTATTTGAATGTTTTCTTTCAGCCTTCAGAGCTATGTGAGAGAGCAGATCCTTCAGACAGTCGCAGTCATCCTCAAACGTGGCACCCTCGACACCAAGGGCTCTGGCTGTGACAGCCTCTTTGCCGATGTTACCCAGCTTATAAGCAGTGGAAATGTTACCATGGTAACCATGTGATCCCAGACTTTCTTACATATGGCTGCATTTGTAATGATAACAGGACACAAGGGACTTCATATTTTATTTGGGTCATGCTCATTTCTGCATGTAGTAGACCATGCTTTTCTTATTTTTTGTTGACTTTAAAGCAACATTCACTGACAGTTTTAGTGTGGCATGAGATGTAACCCATAGCAACAGTCATGAAGACAAGAGAAATTTGAAATTGTTTGGTCGGATGACAATGTAGGCTAGTATGCTGGCCTGTGACTACTAACTTGTGTTGTGGACAAGTTAAAATCCACTGATGGTAATCTTCATTGCCTAGTAGCATTTGAGGGCTAGAATTCTGAACCAGTTCTCATTACTTAAATTTTGCTACAAATTTTAACTGAATAAAACTGACAGAAAATGTAAAACTGACAGAAAATAGTAAACTTTTTTGTCTCCTTCATGATGGACTGGCTACAAACTTTGACGTCTAGTGAAATAAGGTTATCTTGCCTAGTCTTTAAAACAAGAAATATTTGTGAGTGAGTTGGGTTTAACGCTGCTTTTGACATTATTCCATTTATATCATGGCGTGTCAGCTTAATGTGGGAGGAAATCCCGAAGTGATGCAGGTCTCAGACATTTACCTCCTCGTCGAAACACACTAGCATGGGTATAGTGCTGACAAACCTAGAAACATAATCGGGGCGAACCGGGATTCAAACCCACAATCATAGGTTTCTGGCGTGCCCAAGGGACGCAACTCTGCACAGCAAATCGCAAGGACCTTAGACAACTGGGCTACATTAGACTAACATCTAGTCTCTGAAATGAACATATCGTACATAAAAAAACAGTTGTTCAGTTATCCTAATAAAAAATATAATAAAAAGGAGCCCAGTGACTCTCTTCATTTTCCTGATACTGCAGTGATCTAGACTTGCCAAACATTATAGACTTGCATGGGCTGTATTTGATATATATTTGTATCAGGGTCTGTAAGACAGACTAGGGCTACATGTACCCCCAGAAATATTTATGGCTGCACATGTATACAGTATATATGTGCAGCCATGAATATTTCTTGTTTGTAGCAGCCAACATGGTAGATACACATGAATGTTTCCTGTCCCCCAGCAACTTGTGGCGTGCTCCATGCTCACAGCCCTCCTCAACGAATACTCCAGCTCAAGTAGGACCAGCAACGTCGGCTTCACATGGGAGTTCCACACGCGCTGTAAGAGAGCTTTTGAGGTACGTTGTCCGTATGCTTCAAACTTCGAGTACCACGTTATGATCAATTCTGATGTGACGTGAAAAACATTCCTTCGTGGAATCTGTTATCTCTCTTGATACAGTCTTTCACTGTGTCATGACCATAGGTCCATATACTGTCAATCTTGTCGTGGAGTCCCCGCCCACTACCTCCACCACCTTCACCACCACCTACTTCACCAACTACTTACTAGTCACCCCCCCACCACCACCCCCAACCAACCCCACATCCCATATCGAGCAACTGCCTCCACCATTGAGGCTTCCCACCATCCCATATCGAGCAACTACCTCCACCATTGAGGCTTCCCACCATCCCGTTTCGAGCCACCATCTCCATCAGTGAAGTTTCCACCATCCCGTAACGAGCCACCATCTCCATCAGTGAAGTTTCCACCATCCCATATCAAGCAACTACGTCCACCATTGAGGCTTCCCACCATCCTGTATCGAGCCACCACCTCCATCAGTGAAGTTTCCACCGTCCCATATCGAGCAACTACGTCCACCATTGAGGCTTCCCACCATCCCGTATCGAGCCACCATCTCCATCAGTGAAGTTTCCACCATCCCATATCAGGCAACTGCCTCCACCCATTGAGGCTTCCCACCATCCCGTTTCGAGCCACCACCCAAACCCATCACTTCACCTCCTCATCACCCAGCTTCTCCTCATCCCACTCTTCACCTCACCTCCCTGACACCCAACTCATCACCTCCCTGACACCCAACTCATCATTCCGGTCCTCAAGCAGCTCTTCATCGGACTCCACTCCTTTCCACTGTACATTGCATCCTTCACACCCATCTCTGCCTTCTATTGCAGGAGAAGGACCTGAAGAAGGTGTTTATGTTTTCCATGCAAGTGTTGAACGAGCTTAATGCACAGCCGACCCCCCTGACCCGCGAAGCCACTGCCGTCCTTAACCGTGTCCTCTCCATCACAGAGCAGGTCCTCAGCTGGGAATTCACACCTAAAACTCGTATCCTTCACAACACATGCTTGGCGATTGACTGGCAAAAAGTGCTGTCCATCAGCCTATTTCATCCTGTTTCTTAGCCTTACGTTACACCCAGTTTGACATATACCTTCTTAACACTTGTTTCAACTTTCACATGCATGTGACTCCTCAGGTCCAGCAGCTGCAAACGGTTCGACTGAATGTGATAAAATTTGGCAGTACAGTAAACAACAGTCATAACAAACTTAAAGGGACCACTAATTTTTGTTCGTTATAACCGTAGTTCATTATACTATATACAGCAAAGGGACGGGACCATAAAACAGTTCGTTATATCCGTCAGTTCATTATGAGCAAGTTCGTTATAAATGTAGTTTACTGTGCTTCCTTTGCCAGTCTGTTCTTGAGCTTTGTATTTCAACAAACTGACGAAAGTTCAGTAACAAACTAAATAACATATCATGCCAACACACCGATTTCCTCATGCTTGACCCTGCTAACTCTGTCATACGCTGACCATGTGGGAATTTGTCCAAATATCACCCTCTGGTTCTAGTCTGTCCCAGGAACCAGTGGTTGATATTATGAAGAACTCACATCAGTGGTTTCCTTTTTGAAACCGTAACCCCTTTTAAATTTTTAAGAATTTTCACACAAAAAATGTGCACATGAATGCAGCGATGGACTACATATCAATTCATAAAAAATAGCTGCCGATCGATCACCCATAGGAACTGTAAAACATATCAATATTTCCTCTATTACACGCTGGGTCTCTAGTAAAAGCTAGGTCTCTAATACACACCGGGTCAACGGCTATCACAATTAATAGACTGCCTAGCGTCTAATAGAGAAAATATGGTAGTATGTAGTATATATAGCATGTTTTTGGCGACGATATGAAGTTCTAGTCCATAACCCTGACAGCTTCGTTGGACTATAGCTGGAATATTGCTGACTGTGATGTAAAACAACTGACAAACATACATGTAGTATTTCACAAGCATTTACTAGTGTAGGCTGGTGGAAAGTGAGGCTGTCATGCTGTGGTTTTGTCAAACAATGGATGTTCAGTTCCTTCACCTTCGACAGTTATCAGAAAACATGTGGGGTGTTTTTCCATCAACCAGAACATCACCCTGAAGCCCAACGCATCATGGAGGGACACACTGCTGGACCCTACAGTACTGGGGCTGTTCTTCAAGGTAACAATGTCCCTCCCTATTGACCCTTCTACCCAAGGCTTTACCCCACAGTGCTGGGGCTGTTCTTCAAGGAAAGCAATGTCCCTCCCTATTGACCCTTCTACCCAAGGCTTTACTCCACAGTGCTGGGGCTGTTTTTCAAGGTAAGCAATGTCCCTCCCTGTTGACCCTTCTACCCAAGGCTTTACTCCACAGTGCTGGGGCTGTTCTTCAAGGTAAGCAATGTCCCTCCCTATTGACCCTTCTACCCAAGGCTTTACGCCACAGTGCTGGGGCTGTTCTTCAAGGTAAGCAATGTCCCTCCCTATTGACCCTTCTACCCAAGGCTTTACCCCACAGTGCTGGGGCTGTTCTTCAAGGTAAGCAATGTCCCTCCCTATTGACCCTTCTACCCAAGGCTTTACTCCACAGTACTGGGGCTGTTCTTCAAGGTAAGCAATGTCCCTCCCTATTGACCCTTCTACCCAAGGCTTTACCCCACAGTGCTGGGGCTGTTCTTCAAGGTAAGCAATGTCCCTCCCTATTGACCCTTCTACCCAAGGCTTTACCCCACAGTGCTGGGGCTGTTCTTCAAGGAAAGCAATGTCCCTCCCTATTGACCCTTCTACCCAAGGCTTTACTCCACAGTGCTGGGGCTGTTCTTCAAGGTAAGCAATGTCCCTCCCTATTGACCCTTCTACCCAAGGCTTTACTCCACAGTGCTGGGGCTGTTTTTCAAGGTAAGCAATGTCCCTCCCTATTGACCCTTCTACCCAAGGCTTTACCCCACAGTGCTGGGGCTGTTTTTTAAGGTAAGCAATGTCCCTCCCTATTGATCCTTCTACCCAAGGCGTTACCCCACAGTACTGGGGCTGTTCTTAAAGGTAAGCATTGTCCCTCCCTATTGACCCTTCTTCCCAAGGCTTTACTCCACAGTGCTGGGGCTGTTCTTCAAGGTAAGCAATGTCCCTCTGAAGCGAATTGGTTGATAGGGTGTCATTACACCCCAGCTGCATTGATTGTTGCTCACAATATCAATCATTGGATTGTCAAGACCAGTCTGCTGTCTTATAACTGGATTATTGCTGAGCGTGTGCCGTAAAAAAACAAAAAAATTGATACAACTGAAACTATGTTTTACTTACTTACTCATGCCATCACACACTCAAGACTTGGGAACACTTGTTGCCCAGTGGTCTAAGCCAGCACAATTTGCTGTGCGGAGTTGCATCCCCTTTGTGTGCCAGGCTCCAGTGACCATGGCTTCCTATCCCTGATTTATGCCCTCAATTTGTTCACATCTAATATCTGCATTGCTATTTTGCTTCCACATTTGGCTGACTCTTTATTTCATGTGTTAATTTTTTCTCCTTTTAAGAAACTTGACCCTTTCCTTGTTTATATTTCAGATCTATGACAAGGTTCGGCACAATTCTGAAATGGCCCATCATGCCTCACAGTGCCTCAGTCAGCTTGCATCGCTCAATGGCCAAATCTTCAGTGATGACAAGGCCAAGATCCAGTACCTCACCAGCTATATCGATGGCTTCCTACAGCTTCTCACAGGGTAGGGAAAAACTAGATGCACCGGGATCACCAAGTTGACAGAGAGTGAAATCATTGTTAACAGTCGGACCATGGGTCGCCTGTAGCCCGGAGAGATAGATTGACTTCTCCAGGGTTGGACACACCCGACTTGACCTTATTACTGTCTGTCCACACCATGGCAACAGAAAGCAAAGATACCACTTGCATGTTATGTACATAATGTGTATAATAAGAAGTATAAACAGAAGCATTTGTCATGAGACCGTTAAGCAACGGCAGTAGCATTCATGGGGTAAAGATATTGCAGTGATAATGGTGTCTCTAGTTATTTGTCACACAATTTCAGTTCAGGATTGGGTAAAGTTCCGATCAGTCACATTTGGCTTTTTGTACAGAGATTTAGATTACTCAGGCAGCTTCGTACAGATTGCACTGTACATCAATACATGCTGCCCAGATATAGATATTGGTGATAGTTCCAACAATGATGTTAATTCTATCGTTTATCGATTGTGTGTGCAGACTGGGTCTTCAAGATTTCGAGCACCTTGGTATTTCCAACTGCTTCAAGAACCTGGCTATGATGTTCCCGCTGGCATGCTTCATGGAACTGCCGATGCTGCACTTCCGGGCCTTCGTTGATCACATGACCAGACTGACATGCTCAATGGGGAAGGAGGCAGCCAAGGAAGAGGCGGTATGTCATGTGAAGTTTGTCTTTGATTCTTTAGTTTTTAAGTTGCCATTTGTTGGAACTAATGTTTAATATTCTGTGTTTTGTTTTGAAGTCTGGTTAAGAAAAAGTCCCCATGAATTTCATTTCCTCATGCTTGAGCCGATATATGTGCATCTCACCATTCACCTTCTTGTTCATTGGGACCGCCTCCGTGGTCTAATTGTAGAGCATCCGCCCGGAGAGCGGAAGGTCCGGGGTTCGATCCCCGGCTGCATCATACCAAAAGACATTTAAAGATGGTACTCTTAACCCTGTCTGGCGCTCGGCATTAAGGGGCTAAAACAAGGACTGGTCGGCTCAGAGTCGGTATACTGTGTATACTGAGTGGGATATTCATGTTAAACTGCGGCATGGTATCTCAGTGAGCTAGCACTATTAATCGGCATCAGTCCGGACTAGTACAAGCAGCCATACACACATGCACACGTACATGCACGTCGCTATATAAGTGCAATAATCTTGGACGTGACGTTAAACCCCATTTCACCTCACCTCACCTCTTGTTCATCGGCTGTTCTAGATGGATCGGGATGACACAATCCACATGGAGGCATACGAGAAGATGCTGGACACCTGGATGCAGTTTGCCACCAACGTCAAGTCCTTCCCAGAAGGTGCACTCAAGCCACACGCCACAGAAATCTTCAACTCCTATGTCCAGTGTCACATCAGTTCCCCCGAGGGGATCCGCACACAGCTGATGGTCAGTAATACACATGGGTGGTCAGTCCGACTACAGTATGTTTGTGGGGTATAACATTACACCGTACTTTGTTCGAAATAACCGTCTGCCAATAGACCTGTGGCTGGTAGATCTTGTGTTGGGCCCATAGTTTCAAATTTGTATGGGTCCTTATTGGCTGGGCCCGTGAAGATCTGGGGTAGAATAGGTCTTCAGCAACCCATGCTTGCCATAAAAGGCAACTATGCTTGTCGTAAAAGGCGACTAATAGGATCTGGTGGTCAGGCTTGCTGACTTGGTTGATGCATGTCATCGGTCCCAATTGCGTGGATCGATGCTCATGTTGTCAATCACTGGATTGTCTGGTCCAGACTCGATTATTTACAGGCCGCCGTCATATAGCTGGAATATTGCTGAGTGCGGCATTAAACAACAAACCAAACCAACCTAAACCTTATGGGCTGCATTGAATTTATGAATTGATTTATTTATCACTGTAAGCTTCATCTTTTTGTTAAATGATGTCCGGAAGTGTTTAATATAGGCCTGCAGCTTTTAAAGTCTCTGGGTCGTGATGGCAGCTTGGTAATTTATTCTATTTCAAACAGTGCTCGTTACAACATTTCAGAATGGAAGTGCTTCAGCTCATGATGAGGAGATTGATGAGACAGAGGAGGATGACCGGGACAAGTTTTCAGACCAACTCTGTTGTATCGGTGCCCTTGCCCGGATTGTACCTGAACACACCATCCCCCTCCTTGCAAAGTGAGTGTCATAGCCATGAGCAGGAATTAGCATTGTCAACATCCCAGCATACTTAGCGTAGTGTGTGATCTTGTTTTTACTACCGGGGGCACGGGTGGCCCAGTCGTCTAAGGGGCCACGATTCACTGTGCAGAGTTGGCCCCTTGGGCACGCCAGAAAACTATGATTGTTGGATCGAATCCGGTTTGCTCCAATTATGTTTCTAGGTTTGTCAGCACCATACCCGTGCTTGTGGGTTTCACCGAAGTGGTAAACGTCCGTGACCTGCATCACTTCGGGCTTTCCTCCCACATTAAGCTGACATGCCGCGATATAACTGGAATAATGTTAAAAGCGGCATTAAACTCACTCACACTATTTTCACTACCAAGTTGTTTAGTGGACCTGTGGAATTGAATTGTTTCCCATTAGCGTAAGATTTGTTGTAAGATTAACTAAACCAAAAATGTTTTGAGAGATATTTTTAGGAAATTGTGTGCCCAGTCTTCGCTACAAAAAAATGTTCCCCAAAATATTCATGATCTTTAATTATATTTTTAGCAGTATATATGATTTGATTATTTTTATGAATAAACAAAAAAATCAGTGAATTTAGTGAGTAATTGCTTTGTTACAGAGTTTTGGAGGACCGTATTGGTCGGTTACATGGCCAGTTACAGCGGTTACAGCAACAGAGGCTGAACTCTGGCAACCACAACGCATCCCTAGACATGTCTGTACTCAACTGTCTGCATGAAGATATTCATTGGCTCATCCTCATATCAGGTACTGCTCTATCAGAGTGTATATATATATATATATATATATATATATATATATATATATATATATATATATATATATATATATATAACCCAGTCTGGGCCAGACAAACAGGTGACTGAAAGCATGAGCATCATACGATGACAGACATCAGACAAGTAGCCGAGTCTGACTACCAATCCCCAGTTCAGTCTGCTGTATTGACATGCCTGTGATGCTATGGAATCTGCACAGGGTTCTCATGTTAACAAAAGGGATGGCAATGTGGTTAAAGCTGTGTCTAAAGAAGGGGAGATTAACTACTATTAAGTATTAATAAAGCAAAAAATCCACAGGGATTTATGAGGGGGCAGACAAATGAGAGGGGGGTCTAATCGTGATATTGTTCAAAATTTTATCTTTTTTACTATTACTATTGTAAATTCTGAGGAGTCCGGAAATATAAAATTCAAATTGGGAAAGTTCACTGTCATTTGCTACTGTCTCTGGGCCAAATGTCGGCCTCTGAGCAGGTCTAGAGAAACCCCCATGTACAGGATTGCAGGAGGAAAGCATTATATTACAGGGTAGTGGGTCGTGTGTCAACAGGAATTAACAGTTAGATTAGGAGCTGTTTTTTGTACAGTCAATCCTGTCATATACAAGTTTATTGGAAACTTTTGATGTGACCGTGCTCTCCCACTTCAGCACATGTCCTGACCGAAGAGTCTGAAGGCGAGACCCCCATGATTCCGTCCGATGTCATGAACTACTCCATCAGCCAGTCACAGAACGTCAACGTCCAGACCACGCTGCAGGTCCTGGCATCACCGGGGGAGACCCTCAACAGCATCCCAGGAAGTGACCAGAGCACAGACTGGGTGGTCAGGTAACCAAAGCTGCCTCATCCTCAGTGTCATCAAGTGCTACATTTTAAGTTCTGATGTTATTAAAAAATAATTAGGCATTCAACAACAGCCACTAGCCAATCCATGTTCATATATGCATAGCCTGGCCTTAAAGCTGCAATAAAATCGCCAGATCTGTATAGCTGAGCCAGCTCCAGTTCCGAGAACAGGAAGTGAAACACCAATCACAGTTCAGCACCAAATGTCACGAATTTGAAAATATTTTTGGACACATTCAGCGTTAAAAACAACAACCTAGGATTAGATAATGAAAAATAAGGACATGTTAGTTATTGGATGGATTTATATTTAAAAAACATATAAATCGTGCTCAATATCATCCAAAAACAGTTGCCAAGTTTCTCTCTGCACATTCTATCTTCTCCATGAAAGTGGCTGTCGGAACAACTGATTCTGATGTGGTAGGGTGGAACCTTTAGGGGCCACACTGCCAACAAGTAGATTCTTTGTGAATTAGGTTTTGAAAGATCATCATTAGCATGGGTGTAAGGAAATGAGGGCTTCACGTAAACAACAACGAAGGAAGACATCTCAATGGGTAGGATTTGTGGTATGTTGCTTCAGAAATTATGTCCCTTGATCTTAACGACCCAGGTCAATATTCTTCTCAAAAGAAATTAAAGAACAACCGATTTTTTCATATTACTATAGTTGATCAGTCAGTATTGTGATCCCTCACTACAACACTACCTATGGGGTAAAACAGATTGATTAGCGTTATAGACGATCAACCCGGGTAGAAGACCAACGCAACAGTACATGCTCAGTCCATCATGTGATCTACATCGCAATAGCCTCGCGCATTGCATATCAGAGTTTGATAAAATATTAGAATGTAGTTGTTGTTTATGATTCATAGTGTAAAAAAAGACATGTATATTTATGATAACCTGTCTCTTGGATTCAATGTGGATTTCTGTGATCATGAAATCGCTTCTGTACCTTTACAAATAGTCACATTGTATTAAAACAAGTATCTATGACTTCAGTACTGTAAATCTTGAAATGAATGCGTCTCCAAAATAATATGATTACCGACCCCTAGCCCCAAATGCGACTCAATATTAATGCGAATTCCCCCCCCCCCCCCCTCCCCAGTGGGATGACACATATCCTTACCTTAATCCAATGTTACCTTAATTCAATCAAACAGCAGATAGCACCGCTTATTAGTGCTGAGAAGAGCACTATCGTAAAAACAATAAACTGTGATGTGGAATATAGTTGTTTGTTTATATTCAAGTTGGTATTTCCGCTATCCAAAGTGTGCAGTAATTCCGTCTTATTGTTGATAGTCAAAGTGGAGACATAAACATGATAAATGTGTAGTTGAGTTAATGTGAGCAAGGACAACTTGCATTTTTTGCACTTTATTCACGCTCGCTTTAATTTCAAGATATACAGTATTTCCATTATGTGGTCAGGCTGATTGCTGGGATGTTTCGACTGTGTGAGGTGGAAACTCGAGCGACGGACGTCAAGTTGGGCGACTGCCTAAGCCCGGAGGTTGGTCGTTCGACCATGTGGTTCCTGCGGCGGTGGATCCACTCCTACCTCCTCCCCGACGAGAACTACTACTCCCAGGTGAGTCACACACTCAACCCTCACTGTACACAGGTAGGAACATCTAGACATTCTAAAACCTGACAATTAGTAGTCTGATGCCTTGATATGAAAATGTTCATCTGCCATGTTTCCACTTTCTGCGATCTTCAATCTGATTGGTCCTGCTGTTGCAGGTCTCCTCCCCTCAGTCCCCACCTCCCTCTCGCCCCGCCTGTGTGAGTACACCACACTGTTCTATTGTTGTACTAACCTTCAGATTACAACTTGGGTTCTCAGGCAGCCATTAGGAAGATTTCGTGTTGGCAAGGGGTGGTCCGTGTTTCATGGAGCACGCCACAGAGGGTATGAAGCAGAATGCCTGGGAACCAAGGCTGTTTATTTTGCTATCGTTGTTTTTGTATTGAAGGTGCAAGATCTAATCTGTAATTAGCACTCACACCTTTTTACTGTTATGGCAGGTAAAAAGTAAACAGGTCTGGTATTGGGGTCCAGATAAACAATGAACAATTTTTTTATTACCAGATATTATAATAATAGGATTAAATTGCATACTTCAGTTCGGATTTATTGACTGGTATTTCCGGTGTTACGTGATCGCGGTGATCAGCTGATAATGTTTTCTGAGATGGGGGAAAACATCGTGTCATTGGAAAACTTGAGTTTATTGAAAATGTTAGTAAATTTTGGGAGCCATGCTTTACCGCTCGCTATAACCGAGTTAGCGCTATATTGAAGCGTGCAATAACGAGGGAACACTGAACGCAACAACTTGTAATGTGTGTGAAAAGTCGTACTAAAATACGCTATTTGAAGGGGGCGTGGCCTAAATGCAAATGTCCAATGGGGATTTTAAATTTTCCGGATCCCTGTCTTGGACATGTACTTTTAATCGTGCTAATGGTGAAAAGGTATCGCATCTTTACAATGGGTGATGTGTTATAACGGATCTGTTGTTTCTGTTCTCTTAAATCTGTTTGAGCAAGTTATATCACCCGATACTGTTACACAAAGTACTGGGTAATATTTTCAATATTTGGTCTTTTTTCCCCCAATATATTATAAGAAAAGTATCACTTAGAAGTCGGATCTTGCACCTTTAAGGCAGTTTTCATTGTATTTGTTATTGTCAAACATAACTGAAAAAAGCATTTTTGTTACCTGTTGAAATGTTGCAGATAGGGCAGGCATAAAAATGTTTTGCTATGCCTTACCTCAACCGATACTGTTACTATGAAAGAACTACCAGAGTTTCTTGGACTTAAACGTTCATGTTTGAAAAAGATTTAGCTTCAGTGTGTCTTTGTGATACTAGTATGTGTAAAGAATGAGTAAATTCTGTATACCCGGAAACTGAACAAAGATCAACTCTTGAACGATGTTCCACAAATCGGTCGTGGTGCTAAGGCGATCTTAACGCCCAATAATTGGCTTACGACAGTTGTAGCATGAAGATCACTGTGTGGAGCGAGGCCCTGCTGTCAGTCCTTCATGCATGTATGTTTGTCCGTTTCTGTGACATATGTTTAACATTGGCAGGTAACGAGGGAACACTGTTTGTCAGACAACTAATTGTCAGTTGCACAATGGACGAGGCACTAATTTTAGGCTGTGTATATTGTTAGCAGTTCAGTGTTCACATTTACACAAGTTTAGAAGTTATTTGTTGGGCACCATTTATTCCCACAGTTTACTAACAATTTTAAAATCTCAGAATACCAAAACTAGCCGTAATTACCATATTAAAGTTCAGTGCATCTTGCATACAGTTGCTTGTTAGACATTCTCAGAGTAGCATTTTGAATCAGCGTCAATGACAAGAAAGGCACCATTCAAGTTTCGTTATGGTTGATTTAAACATAGGGTACATAAAGGGACAACCTCGGGTAAAATAGATCCGGGATAGAATAGGTCTTCAGCAACCCATGCTTGCTGTAAGAGGTGACTATGCTTGTTGTAAGAGGCGACTATGCTTGTTGTAAGACTTGCTGACTTGGTTGATGAATGTCATCGTATCCCAATTGCGTAGATCAATGCTCATGATGTCAATCACTAATTTTCTGGTCCAGACTTGATTATGTACAGGCCACCTTCATAGCTGGAATATTGCTGTGTGTGGTGTTAAACAACAAACAAACAAACAAAACAAGTCACATCAACTGACCTTCTCAGTTTTGTGTGTTAGGTGTGAATGTGAAAATGGGTAATTACCCCTCACCAATATCTATATGAAGATCTGTGATTCTGGTCACTTTAGGCACTGTAAGCCTGGTGTCAGATTCCACCAGCCTGTAGCATCAAGTGCTGTATGTGTTGTAGATGAGCATGGCGCTGTCAGCAGCCTTTGGCCGTGACACTGACGGAGCACAGTGGACTATTTCCTTCCTGCTGCAGAAGACCATCAACAACCTCAACATCTGGAGCAGTGAAGAGTCCCTGCTCAAGGATACGATGGAGATGTTCTCAGCGCTGGTGGAGACAAAGGCCAGGTACACTGATCATTATCGGCTTCATCTAATGCCTTTAACATTTTGATATTTTTTCACATTTTCTACTTATGATCCTTCAGACTTGCCGCCCACATCAAGCTGACATGCTGTGATATACTAGCAACTGAAACTGCTCTCACTCTCACTCACTCACTCACTCACGCATGCACGCATGCACGCACGCACGCACGCACGCACCCACGCACGCACCCACCCACGCATGCACGCACGCACGCACCCACCTACCCACGCATCCACGCATGCACCCACCCACGCACTCACCCATGCACGCATCCACGTATCCACGCACCCACTCATCCATGCACCCACGCGTGCACTCATTCACTCTACATATGATGTATTTAATCAATCATTACAAATCCTTACTGTAATTCTGCATGATCATGATGATGTTTATTATTCTTCTTTATATAGTTGGGCAAATAAAAATAAATTGAACTCCTTTTCTTTTCAATTCTTTTTCAAAATATAATGTGTCCTCTACATAATAATATTTGATGAAAACTATTCTAAGTAGGTAGGACCAGCAGTTGGTTTTCAATCATCACGGACATGTCAAGATTGTATCAGCAAATCCCGAAGTCTGTGTTTTCAGGGCGTCATACGTGATCAAGGTGGAGAACCTATGGCATCTGGCGCGGATGGAGGCCAACAATGATGCTGTTATCGATGGCCTGCCATCTTCTGTCCGCCGCCTCATGATGAAGGCTCTCGTACTGGCGGGAGTTGGATTCAGGGAGGACTCCAACAAGGAGGAGTATTGGAAACTGGTAGGGGTTGCACAAACCTGCTCTCTGAGTTGGAAATTAATAATTGCCAGAATCGTACAATAGACTTAACTTTTAGTAGAGATTTTATGATTATGGAATTGTTTTTGTTGCCTTTATTTACAACAGCTATATGCCTTCAAAGAAACTCCCGCCTTCATTGACTAGTGGTAGAGAGAGGAAGGTCCGGGGTTCGATCCCCGGCTGTGTCATACCAAAAGATGTTAAAAGATGGTACTTGTTGTTACCCTGCCTGGTGCTCAGCAGTTAGGGGCTAAAACAAGGACTGGTCTGTTCGGAGTCAGTATACTGTGTCTAAGTGGGGTATTCATGTTAAACTGCGGCATGGTATATCAGTGGGCTAGCACTATAAATCGGCATCAGTCCGGACTAGCACAAGCAGCAATACACACATGCATGCATACATGCTATATAAGTGCAATAATCTTGGATGCGACGTTAAACCCCATGTCACCTCACCGCACCCACTGCTAAACAGTTGAGGCTTGGTTTTATGACTGTTTGATGGTGATTCACAGGCACATGCTTGTGATTTTAGTCAGAATCGACTCTAGTTTTAGTTGAGATTTTCTTATAAATTATGGAAGTGTCTTTTGTTGCTTTCATTTGAAACAGATCTATTCTTTCAAAGACAACCACACTGTCTAACCAGGTGAGCTTCTGTACTGGTGATGCAGTTGGTATGAAGATAACAGATAATGATGAAACGTTGACTGTCCCAGGTGCTGCAGTCTGTCCACGACCGCTTCTATGCCCTGGTGTGTCAGGAGCACTTTGCAGACAAGAAGGTTACGTGTAAGAATGCTGTGATGGGCATCCTCGACGTGCTGCTGGGGATAGCCCAGGGTTCCAGACTCATCAACCTGGACCGCATCTTCCTCTTCCTCTCACCCCTCCTAGCGGAGAGTGTCAAGTTGCTGGGTGAGTCACAGAGTAGAAGGAAGTGTCCTTCTGCCTTCAGCTTGTGACGATGTTCATACAATGTTTGTCTCTAAGTCATAATAAATTAACATCAAGTACAAGAAATCAAAATGTCCGACACGACAAACGTGACGGGAGAGATTTCTGAAGTTTTCTGCGTTATACAAAAAACAAACTTAAACTTATGAACTTCAGTTTCGCAGTCATGTGACCGACCTTTCGCCCAATGAAAAAGCTGTGTATTGTGTAAGATTCACATTTAAAAATGATGTTTGTTTGTGTCCCCCAAGGACTTGCAATGTAGATTATTACAACCATTCTCAATGGCAGTTCTATCTCCCCCCTGTAGATCTGTACCACAGCTATGAGGAGGTGGTTCCAATGATCCTAGAGCTGTTCTCCGAGATCGTCAACAAGCAACTGTGCTACCTGAGTGAGGTCAGTCGCCTGTCATGGTTCAAGTTTGAATAACATACCGTATTCTACGTAATAAGACCCTAGGGTGCTCTCAAAATTAGAAATTGGCGGATCTCATTATAATAATATTTTGGGGGAAAAAAGAGTTGAAAGATCATAAATTTTGTGGTTTATGCTGACAGCCTGAAATGATACAAAAGAAAAGTCTGTACGTATTATACATGACGGATATGTTTTCCAGAATTTATTTGCCCATAATTAAGGGTGCATATAACACATGAGTGCGTATTATACACGAAAAAATACATTGATCGATTGGAAGGGGTGCTAGTTGTGATTGTTCACTAGCCAATATATTAGCAAATATCGCCGTGGGCGCTTATTAGAGCGGGGTGCTTATTACGTGCTATACGGTAGTTACTGCACACCCGTATCAACTGACTTTGGAAGTCTCATCACTAGAAACACAATGTCTATGTTGATACACATTGTTAAGTGCCAGTCCCCTGTTTCTGTAATCTACATGATTAAAATGCCCCTCCCACAACCCGGGGGAATTGTAGGATTGATTTTTGTGTCCCTTTGCTTGTCAATGTTTACTGTCATGGCATCTTGTGAACTGATGTTTATGCTGTTTTGTTTCCCAGATGAAGGCACGGAAGCTGTACGAGCTCAGTTTGTCGGCAATACAGACCTACTCTAAGCACAACACAGGTGAGTCCAGACCTTCATACCAAAAACATATAAATCTGCCATTGTTCCAGGAGCAGTGCTGTGTCATGGTAGACATAATATAGAAAAAGGTTCAGTCATGTTAATGAAGCCACATCATTTATATAATTTTATAGATACCCATGTTCTGTGTGTCAGGCAGGTGTCTCGGGGACGTGTATTCAGGTCATGTTGTGTGTCTGGTGGATGTGTATTCAGGTCGTGTTGTGTGTCTGGTGGACGTGTATTCAGGTCATGTTCTGTGTCTGGTGGATGTGTATTCAGGTCATGTTCTGTCTGGTGGATGTGTATTCAGGTCATGTTCTGTGTCTGGTGGATGTGTATTCAGGTCATGTGTGTCTGGTGGACGTGTATTCAGGTCATGTTCTGTGTCTGGTGGATGTGTATTCAGGTCATGTTGTGTGTCTCGGGGACGTGTATTCAGGTCATGTTGTGTGTCTGGTGGACGTGTATTCAGGTCATGTTGTGTGTCTGGTGGACGTGTATTCAGGTCATGTTCTGTGTCTGGTGGACGTGTATTCAGGTCATGTTCTGTGTCTGGTGGACGTGTATTCAGGTCATGTTGTGTGTCTGGTGGACGAGTATTCAGGTCACATTGTGTGTCTGGTGGACGTGTATTCAGGTCATGTTGTGTGTCTGGTGGACGTGTATTCAGGTCATGTTGTGTGTCTGGTGGATGTGTATTCAGGTCATGTTGTGTGTCTGGTGGATGTGTATTCAGGTCATGTTGTGTGTCTGGTGGACGTGTATTCAGGTCATGTTGTGTGTCTGGTGGATGTGTATTCAGGTCGTGTTGTGTGTCTGGTGGACGTGTATTCAGGTCATTTTCTGTGTCTGGTGGACGTGTATTCAGGTCATGTTGTGTGTCTGGTGGATGTGTATTCAGGTCATGTTGTGTGTCTGGTGGATGTGTATTCAGGTCATGTGTGTCTGGTGGACGTGTATTCAGGTCATGTTGTCTGTCTGGTGGATGTGTATTCAGGTCATGTTCTGTGTCTGGTGGATGTGTATTCAGGTCATGTTGTGTGTCTGCTGGACGTGTATTCAGGTCATGTTGTCTGTCTGGTGGACGTGTATTCAGGTCATGTTCTGTGTCTGATGGACGTGTATTCAGGTCACGTGTGTCTGATGGACGTGTATTCAGGTCACGTGTGTCTGATGGACGTGTATTCAGGTCATGTTCTGTGTCTGGTGGACGTGTATTCAGGTCATGTTCTGTGTCTGGTGGACGTGTATTCAGGTCATGTTGTGTGTCTCGGGGACGTGTATTCAGGTCATGTTGTGTGTCTGGTGGACGTGTATTCAGGTCATGTTGTGTGTCTGGTGGACGTGTATTCAGGTCATGTTCTGTGTCTGGTGGACGTGTATTCAGGTCATGTTCTGTGTCTGGTGGACGTGTATTCAGGTCATGTTGTGTGTCTGGTGGACGTGTATTCAGGTCATGTTCTGTGTCTGGTGGACGTGTATTCAGGTCATGTTCTGTGTCTGGTGGACGTGTATTCAGGTCATGTGTGTCTGATGGACGTGTATTCAGGTCACGTTGTGTGTCTGGTGGATGTGTATTCAGGTCATGTTGTGTGTCTCGGGGACGTGTATTCAGGTCATGTTGTGTGTCTCGGGGACGTGTATTCAGGTCATGTGTGTCTGGTGGACGTGTATTCAGGTCGTGTTCTGTGTCTGGTGGACGTGTATTCAGGTCATGTGTGTCTGGTGGACGTGTATTCAGGTCATGTTCTGTGTCTGGTGGATGTGTATTCAGGTCACGTTGTGTGTCTGGTGGATGTGTATTCAGGTCATGTTGTGTGTCTCGGGGACGTGTATTCAGGTCATGTTGTGTGTCTCGGGGACGTGTATTCAGGTCATGTGTGTCTGGTGGACGTGTATTCAGGTCGTGTTCTGTGTCTGGTGGACGTGTATTCAGGTCATGTGTGTCTGGTGGACGTGTATTCAGGTCATGTTCTGTGTCTGGTGGATGTGTATTCAGGTCACGTTGTGTGTCTGGTGGATGTGTATTCAGGTCATGTTGTGTGTCTGGTGGATGTGTATTCAGGTCATGTTGTGTGTCTGGTGGACGTGTATTCAGGTCATGTGTGTCTGGTGGACGTGTATTCAGGTCACGTTGTGTGTCTGGTGGATGTGTATTCAGGTCACGTTGTGTGTCTGGTGGATGTGTATTCAGGTCATGTTGTGTGTCTGGTGGATGTGTATTCAGGTCATGTTTTGTGTCTGGTGGATGTGTATTCAGGTCATGTTGTGCGTCTGGTGGACGTGTATTCAGGTCATGTTCTGTCTGGTGGACATGTATTCAGGTCATATTCTGTGTGTCAGGCAAGCGGCTGGTGGATGTGAGCGAGGAGGAGGAGAACAAATACCAAGACATCCTGCTGGTGATGGAGCTGCTCACCAACCTGCTGTCCAAAGACTTCATCGACTTTGGAGAGCCAGGTAAAGTAAACACACAGTACCCTCCAGGTGATTTCCTGTTATCTCTCACTGTCAGGTAGTACCCGTGAAGATCCAGGGTAGAATAGGTCTTCAGCAACCTAATGGGATCGGGTGGTGAGGCTCGCTAACTTGGTTGATGCATGTCATCACATCCCAATTGCTTAGATCGATGCTCATGGTATCAATCACTGGATTATCTGGTCCAGACTCGATTATTTACAGACCGCCATCATATAGCTGGAATATTGCAGAGTGTGGCGTAAAACAACAAACAAACAGACAAACAAAACTTTGTCCTCATATATCTACAATGCTGCATACTTCAGATGAAAACGAGCCCAGTGACGGTGTGAAGATGGAGGGCGCCGATGTCGTCATGTATGGCCTCAGCATCATCATACCCCTCATGAATGCTGAAATACTCAAGGTAATAATCACCTGTTTTGTTCTACTAACATGTAGGGGGCACGCTGAAGATCTGAGTTCAATTCCCGACAATGTGTGAAGCCCATTTCTGGTGTCCCGCACAGTGATATTGCTGGAATATTGCTAAAGCGGGGTAAAACCACAATCACTCACTATTAACTTGTGGGCGGTGTGGTGGCCCAGTGGTTAAAGCGTTTGCTCCTCACGCCGAAGGCCTGTCCGATTGCCCTCATGGGTACAATGTGTGAAGCCCATTTCTGGTGTCCCCCGCAGTGTTATTGCCGGAATATTGCTAAAAGCGTCGTTAAACTGTAAAACTTCAGAGTGCATCATAATGTGAACTGGTGACTTGTAAGCTAGCTTTAGGTATGGTGGCTATGACTTTGTAGGGCTTGATTTAGCTATATTTAACATGCACCAGTGCAACCTGTTTTTGAAAAGTGCACCCTAATATATATTCCTACATGCACAAAAGCTATATGTGTGTGTGACTCAGCCTTACTTTTCCACACAACAACGATCTTTGAACACAGTGAATACCTCAAAGCTTTATGTACAAAACTATATCATTAATTCCTGGGATAAATGTAATTTGTCATCCTTTCTTGGGCTGGATGTCATCAAACTGTGGGTACTTCAAGATAATGTGCACATCCTATTATGTTTTAGAGCAATGTTTATGTACAATCATGAAACAGTCATCATAAATCTGAGATATATTTATGCAGTTAAATGAAGTTCCGTAACTCGAGCCCTGCTTTGCCAAGACACTTCCTTACACTGCCTCCAGTGGTTGAGTGGATAGAGTGTATGCCCAAAGAGGGGACAGTTAGTGGTTCGATCCCCGGCCGCGTCATACCAAAAGACGTTAAAAGATGGTACTTGTTGTTACCCCATCTGACACTCAGCATTAAGGGACTGGTTGGCTCAGTCAGTATACTGTGTCTGAGTGGGGTGTCCATGTTATGTGTGCTACATCAGTGGGATACTATTATAAAAACAGCATTCCTCTGGAATAGTACAAGCAAGGATGTCACTATATCATTGCAATAATCTTTAACACTATGTTAAACCCCATTTCTCCCCGCCTCATCTCATTTCCTGAACCTGGAAAAGTTATTCTTGTTTCGACATGTATTTGTGAAAATATCTGCCTGTTAAAGGAGATTATTTTGCAATTGTCATTGATGAACGTGTTAAAACAACCATAACAAATGTTATATTTGGATAACAATTTCTTAGTAAAGTAGAAATTTAAGTTCTTACACCATTATTACACAATTGATGTTCTCTTGTTGTTAGAACCTAAACCAAAATGTCAGACCTAATTGAAAAGAAGTTGTTCATCCCTATATCTTATCCTAACTATGTACTCGAACTTCTAAATGCCTCTCAAAGAAGTTATTGTGACTGTTGTTCTTTTTTTCAGTTCCCAACGCTGTGCAGTCACTACTTCAAGTTGGTAGCCTTCCTCGGGGAGATCCACGCAGACAAGTTCCCCAAACTGCCGCCTGAACTCTTCAAGTCCCTCATGGCTTCCATCGAGCTCGGACTATCCGCGTATCCTTGTCATGCTAAGTGTCCAGGATTTAATAGTGACGTGTTTATTGTTATGGTCACTCACTCACTCACTCACTCAACCACTCAACCACTCAACCACTCACTCAACCACTCACTCAACCACTCACTCAACCACTCACTCAACCACTCACCCACCACCAATTTCTCCAGCCCATGTCAGAGTGATGACCTCTACACTGACACATTATGTACTGATTGTGCCTATCTGTATGCTGCTGTAATGTACAAGTATATTGACCTTGACCTTTGACCCAGCTTTTCCCCTGAAACCACAAGGCTATGTCTGGAGGTGATATCGGAACTGGCATCCCACGCCTTCCAAACCAGCCTGAACGTGCCCCACGTCCATGCAGCCCTGGCCCACTTCCTGGAGGTGAGTAGTCCAGTGTCAGGGTGGCTGCCTGCCAGGGAACGACAGTCTGGTAAAAACACAGTTCAACTTTCAAATTTACACTTCACAATGACCACACAAGGAATTGTCAACTTACAATCTACTCATAAGTGTGATTGTATTGTCAACATCAACACTCCTTTAATTGTTCTGTGCTCAGAGGGTGTAAAGTCGACCAAGAACTGCTGTTTCTGGATCTAAGGCTGAGAGATTCCACTGGTCCTAAATGTCAATGCTTGATCCCAAAATCTTGGATTAAAATGGTTCATCGTGCCGTGTGACGATCTTGTTCAATATCATGTACCTCTAATAGTGTTTATATTTTCATCTGCCGTAAAAGGTGACTATGCTTGTCGTAAAAGGCGCCTAACGGGATCGGGCGGTCAGACTCGCTGACTTGGTTGATGCACGTCATCTATCCCAATTGCGTGGATCAATGCTTATGATGTCAATCACTGGATTGTCTGGTCCAGACTCGATTATTTTACAGACCGCCGTCATATAGCTGGAATATTGCTGAGTGTGGCGTTAAACAACAAACAAACAAATCTTATATATAACAATAGAAGAATATCTTTAAACTTCCCTACTGATAACATGTGTAAGAAGATATATATTTGGCCTTGCTCATACCATGTTTTTAAAGTTGAGCAATACCTAACTTGCCTCATGAGCGAGAAAACTTCTCTGCGACGGTTTGATAATGAAACGAAGCTATGGTTGCAATTGGGTCCAGGGTATTCATCATAATAGAATGGCAATATAGTGTTACACTGGTATCGTGGATGTGCAGTGTTGGCTTCAGACATTTGCTGCAGGAGAGTGTCATGCTGGAAAGCTACTTGTTCATGTTTTCAATTGTGTATACCCTCCATGTTTGTCGTACGAGGAAAGACATGGATCTCCCGAAGTCATGCAAGGCATCGATAAAACTGGTGTTCGTGCTTCTTAAAGCGACACAACCTAGCGCTGAGGCAGAAAACCCACATTGCCCAGAAACTTCCTGCTGAAGTGGAAACTAAAGTGGTTTTTTTTCATCAATTTGTAATCCGTGAGCGTAAGAAGGTAGAATACGATTTAAGCCAGATCGGCAATATGGACGAAACTCCCCTGAACTTCGACATGCCAGAATCAAGGACCATGGACACCAAGGGGACTTCGACGGTGTCAGTTCGTACATGTGGGGCGGAAAAGCAACACTTCACCGTGGTGTTAACCTGCATGGCCGATGGTACCAAGCTGGACCCAATGCTTATTTTCAAGCGGAAGACCATGCCGAAAGTTCCCCAGTGGCGTGTACGTCACAGTACAGGATAAAGGCTGGATGGACGAGTCTCTTGTACTCAAGTGGCTAGAGAATGTGTGGATGAAGAGACCAGGTGCTGCCATTTGTGCGAAGCAGTGAAGAGGAAGTTGGTTGACACCAAAACACGTCAGGCCGTGATCCCCGGTGGATGCACCTCCCTGTTACAGCCACTTGATGTCTGCCTGAACAAACCCTTCAAGGCCAACGTAAGGAGTGCGTGGAATACGTGGATGGTGAATTGCGACCACACATACACAAAAACAAATAAACAAAGAAAGGCACCGCTACCAGTTGTCGCAGAATGGGTCAAGACCGCATGGATGGAAATACCAGCGGACATGGTGAAACGCAGTTTTCTAAAGTGTGGGATAGCCAATGCTATGGACGGATCGGAGGACGATTGTTTGTATGAGGATCTTGTCAATATTGAATCCGGGAGATCTGACACAGCAGAAACAGTTGCCGACATCCCTGATAATTTCGAGGATGAATTGAACGATTATTATGACGACAAAACGGATTTGATAGCATGGGACATTCTCTGTGCGGAAGAATCCGACTCGGAATTTGATGGGTTCACTGAGGCAGATCTGTGATTTTGTTCTGATGACAGCAAACTGTAAATAAGCCGGGAAAATAACTTTGTGATTTTATGTATGATTTTTTTAATGATGTATGTATTTATGTATGATTCTGAATGATGAATGGATCTATGTATGTAAACAAAGATGTGAATTAATTAAATTAAGAAAAATGGGCGTAATGGGCGTGCGTAAATAAATGGCTCGTTACTTGAAATATGTACTTATGTTATTACTTCATAAATGAATTTTATTTTACGGGCACCAATTTGGTGTCGCACCGTGTAAACACAAAATGGCGACATGTGCTGGAGTTACACACGCGACCAGTCATCGTAGAAAAAAACAACGCAAGATAAACATATTTTTATTGCATATATAAGGTTTGTGCGCTCACTTGTGATGTGTTTCATTCAAGGTCGCCTTATACACGGAGTATAGGATTTTGGGTTGATTTCGAAGGCGTGTACAGGGGGCTCGTCTTATACGTGGGGTATACGGTACATCTATAGCTAGATTTCCGACCCGTGAAGATTCCGGGTAGAATAGGTCTTCAGCAACCCAAACTTGCCGTAAAAGGCGACTAACGGGATCGGGTGGTCAGACTAGCTGACTTTGTTGATACATGTCATCGTATCCCGATTGCTCATGATGTCAACCACTTGATTGTCTGGTCCAGACTCAGTTATTTACAGACCGCCGTCATATAGCTGGAATATTGCTGAGTGCGGCGTAAAACAACAAATCAACCAACTATAGCTAGATTTCCAAAATGTATTCTGGTCAGATTGTCAGTGAGACGGTAGACATGATGTACTGGTATGGGATCTTCCCGAGTTGAATTAAAGGAAAGGGGATATGTAATTCCATTTTTTTAGGATTTTGTGTCAGAACACATCTGACCACAACTGACAAAACTCTGATATTATCCTGAGACTACAGTAGCTTCTACCAGCTGGACAGATTACATGGGAAGTGCTATCAACTACGTCTCATTCTGTGTGGTATTCATCACTGGTCTGTCTGCTCCAGGCCTGACACTACACACCTAGTGGGGATTCGGGATTAGAATAGATTAGAATAAATCCCCAGCAACCTATGCTGGTTGCAAAAGGTGACTGGGTGGTCAGGTTCGGTGAATTGGTTCATGGCATGTCTCCATTCCTTAATGGTGTGGATCTATTGTGATATCAATCACTGGATGGTCTGTGCGGTTAAGTGGCTGGAATATTGCCGAGTGTGACGTTAAGAATCTGGTGTGTGTGTTTCAGCTGGTGTTCCACATGCTGCTTCTGGAGAGTTTCGACATGGACCTGCTGGAGCCGGCCAGTACATCACTCTTCTGCCTCATCTGCTGCCATCAGGTAGGTCACGGCAACAGAAACACAAAACAAGAAAAAAATTTTTTGCTCCTGTTTGAAATAAAATATGGAAGTTAAAGTGTCCTTGTCAGAATACTGGTGTTATTATTACGGATTTAAGGTGACTTTGTGTTAATATGTACCACTCAAAAAAAGTAAAAGATTCACTGGAGTTAATATGTCATGCCATGATAGATGTGTAATATGACAGATTTGAGTGTTCTTCAACTTCTTCTGATTGATATATGTGTGTCATAATTTGGTATATTTTCATATACCTTATGTTTATGTTTTTAGTTTATTTAAAGTATTTATTGTGTTCTTATCATCACACCGTGCCAAACCATATCACCACAGCCCACGCCACACCAACACACACCCTGCCACGCCAAAACACCCCTCTGCTACATCATTCCACGCCACACTACACCATACACCACACCACAACACAACACACATTTAACACACAACACACATTACAACACGCACCACACCACACCACACCACACCACACCACACCACACCACACCACACACCTGTGAAGATCCAGGGTAGAATAGGTCTTCAGACATGCCTGCAAAAAAAGGCGACGATGTTGTCGTAAGAGGCAACTAACGTGATCGGCTGGTCAGGCTCGCTGACTTGGCTTATGCATGTCATCGTATCCCAATTGTGTAGATCGATGCTCATGATATCAAACACATACGGCTCCAACACCAACACCACGCACCGCACCGCACCGCACCGCACCGCACCGCACCGCACCAAATCCACACCACACCACACCACACCACACCACACCACACCACACCACACCACACCACACCACTGCACCGCACCACACCACACCACACCACACCACACCACACCACACCACACCTCACCGCACCAAATCCACACCACACCACACCACACCACACCACACCACACCACACCACACCACACCACACCACACCACACCACACCACACCACTGCACCGCACCACACCACACCACACCACACCACACCACACCACACCACACCACACCACACCACACCACACCACACCACACCACACCACACCACACCACACCACACCACACCCTGAATGTGGCTGTATGCCCCAGTCTGTGTTGCAGGAGCAGTACCGTGACCTGGTGAACCGTCTGCTGCAGAACCAGCAGGAGGAGGAGTACAAGCAGCGCCTCCTGGAGGCCTTCAACAACTTGACCCCGCCCTCCTTCAACATGACCATCTCCCGGCACACCAAGATAGCATTCATGCACAACTTTGACCAGTTCCTTACTAACGTCAGAGGATTCTTGTGTGTCAAGTGAAAGGGCACCTACACATTGGTTCCTTTATCAAAAGAATCGCTGGTCACAATGGGAGCTCTTCAGTCCAGTGTCGGCTTTGCGTTTACACGCACAATCCAATTCATGCTGTTCTATGCAAAGTTTGATGCACCAATACAAGACGTGCCTACAAGCACGAGAGACCGCACTTGCTGTGCCTGCAAGCTAGGTAGCTGTACAGAATGCACCATGTTCGTGTGAGGTAGGGACAGTATGCGTGTGTGCAGTGTGCGGCAAGAATGCACCGGGGCGGAATGTATCACTGTGTGTTTGTGTGGAACAATGCAACAAGAGTACGCCTCACGTACCCTTAGACTGCTTGTGTTTGCTCAATCAAATGGTTCTCGGTGCTGACACATGCAAGTTAAATGTGTTAAGAGTATTTTTCTAAAGTAACAGAAGAAGTATTTTAGTAGGAAACGACAATGCCTCGAACAACTGTGAAAACTGATGCTCTCTGAAAGTGCTTGTTTGTTGTGGTGACCGAGTACTGGACAAGTTTAGGGACCTTGAGGGAGTCGAGGGTTCAACTGACAATGCAAATAATATGTTGTGAAACAACCATTGTTGGAGGCCAACGGATTTGATGTCTAAGACTGGTAGAATCTGCTAGAAACAGACTTGGTCAAGTCCTCAATCTGTTCTTGGGAAGGATACATCTGACAGGGTAGAAGAACTGCTCTCAGACATGTGGAAGATCTGGCGTCTGCCCTCAGACAGATGGAAGATTAGATGTCTGCTCTCAGGCAGATGGAAGATGTGGTGTCTGCTCTCAGACTGATTGAAGATTTGGTGTCTGCTCTCAGACTGATTGAAGATTTGGCGTCTGCTCTCAGACAGGTACACGTCTGCTGGATTGAGTGAAGTGTTGGACTGCAAGGGAATGACCTGAGAAGCTGCTGTATGTCAGTCACGATGTTCTTTTCAACAACGATGCTAGGATTGATTCACTCTGATAAGATGGCTTATGACATAACAAGAAGGTTGCCCCAACTGTTGGTTGACTTAATGGTTGATTCCTCTGAGCCATGATGTGACTGAATCAATGATTCAGATTGCTGTTTCCGTGGTTACGAAGAGATAGTTCATTAAACGGTTACGAAGTGATGGTATTCCACTCGACCACTATGTTTTGCTTAATTAAATGGCTACTTTGTGAAGGCTGATTCCACGACTACAAAATTACAAGGTGATGGGTAATTCCACTTCTACAAGGTGATGGTTGATGACAACGTAAACGGTGATTCTACTATTCCAAAGTTATCTTTAAGTCCTCTGGATCTACACATCGACAGTGTGATTGACAGTTGCTCTCCCAGGCAATGGAATTCTTGATCCTTCAGTGGAAGAAGTGAAGAACAGTTAAAGCCAGTCAACCTTCTCCAGCACTGCCCCAACATGACGCCAACTGACGAGCGTTGGCCATGATGACTACTGTGTGTCTTTCAAGTGTGTCCGGTTTATGAGATTAAATGTGTTCCGAGCGTATGTCAACAGGGTAGACAGACCGAGTTGCACGAGTGTTTAACTCTAGCAGATGTTATATTACTTAATGCGGGATCTGCTCACAATGACACTCACTGTTGTGTAATGGAGGTATACAACTCAGAATTTGCTAAGGACCAAAATAGTCGTTTTTAGTCAGTCAAAGGTGTGATCCTTAGCAAGTGTTGAGCAGCATATGTTCAGAATAGCCTACAGCGTATTATCATTTTCACAAAGTACATGTATTTTCTTAATTTATGAAGGTCGAACAACTTATCACGTATAGTTTCTGTATGTTGTTAGACACTAGATTCATTCCTGTGAATGAGTGATTGAACCATCATGGGAGAATGATCCCTTGTGCCTTACGTTGAAGCCTGACAGCTCTCTACTCAGCAGAACATGTCCGTAGTGTGTGTATGGGTGTCAGCCATCGTTGTCCGTGTCCAAGTATTAGAGATCATGTATATAGGAGTCAATGTTTACTGTCAAATTTTCATAAAAACAAGGCTGATCATGCAAACAAATCAGGTTTTACAAAAATCAAAGAATTACATCTTCAATTATGAATCATGATGAGAATCAGAGCTACAGATAAGCAGTGTATTTGGGTAAAATCCCCCCCCAAAATATTCAAAACCCAATTACCTTCAACTAACTTGCGTACAGAAACGCATGCATTAAATGAAAAACTCAAATGTATAAAAACAGCTCGCCTCAATACCCAAGCTGAAAAAAGCATGCGTACAACGGAGCTAATTTCCGAAACACAATTACCCGCTAATTTACTTTCCGAGTCAAGCCTATATGTTTAGAAGAAACATGAACATCTAAAACATTAAATCTTAAGATGGTCACTAATTTTGGGAAAAAACCAATAGAGTGAGGAATAGTTGAGTGAAAAAATATTGGTTACCAAATGAAAAATGTAATAACCCAATCAAAATAGAAACCCTAGAGTAAAACCTTATTGCTCAAAAAGTTATCTGGAGCTCTGTATAATTGCCATTGTTTTTGTAACTTTGAGTTAGTGATAAGACTGGTCAAATGTATTTACTGTCTCCACCTTTTGGTTGTGCAATCCAATGGAATATGTAGATTATAGATTGATCATATATTATCCCATGTCTTTTTAGGGACCAACCATGTCATTTAATATTGGGAGGGGGAGGGGTCTGTCATGTTTGTTTGAGATAAAATATTAATTCAGTCAGTACTTGAAAACATACAGAGGATGGGGACAAAATATATTCTTTGGACTCATAATACATTATTTTTCAAACATTCAGAATATTCACCTGATGTCTAATGAACAATTATTTAGAGGGGTAAAACTTGAGGTCAGAATGTTTCAAAAGATTATTATTGTTTTGGACCCGAGCACCTCAGAGCCCCAGAATATGAAATGGTTGTCAGATTAACTGTTTAATGTGGACTCCTACTGAAGACAGAGGTGTGATGGTGTTGTTGGGGCTTTAAGGGTTAACTATGGGCCCTGACGCCAGTATTGTATCACAACAATTTTCATCGATACGAAAGCAATACATGTTGTATAGGTAACATCTGTCAGTTGCATGTGCGGAAACCAACCAAGGCTTGAGAACTTTGAATACCAACAGACATTGGCATTTTACAATTCATTATGCAGTATGAAAAACGAATGGCAAAATCTATACTACTCAAAAAAGGTTAAGCAACACAATTCTTTCATATTACTATAGTTAATCTGTCATGGCAGATTAATTATTGTAATATGAAAGAATTAGGTGTTTATTAACTAGTTTTGAGTAGAATATTTTCTGAAGGTATGACTCCTCAAGCCAAGTTCGTGGTATAAACAATTTTTGGCATGTTATCATAGCTATTATTACAAATTACCAAATGGGATTTTAGGTATATTTTAGTAATTTATTTATTTTGATGATGGAATATTGTTCCTCGGCCATGTGAGTATGACACGTGTTAAGTTTGTTAATCCTGTTACAACTTTACAATCTCGACATGTGAGAGAGTCTACCATTACAATGATCGCCATAGCAACTGTCAGAAGGCCACACTTCCAATCACAGCCATTTGTCTTGCAGATTGGGGATTTTTGACTATTTCCTATTACTTTCAGTCACATGATGAATTGTAACCATGGTTACAGCTGCAGTGTTTGCTGTGTAGCTGCTCTCACAATATGAAGTATTCTACTCTAAAGAAGTTAAGGAACACCAAATTCTTTCATATTACTATAGACCCGTGAAGATCCGGGGTAGAATAGGTCTTCAGCAACCCATGCTTGTCGTAAAAGGCGACTAACGGGATCGGGTGGTCAGGCCTGCTGATTTGGTTGATGCATGTCATCATATCCCAATTCGATGTTCATGATGTCAATCACTTGATTGTCTGGTCCAGACTCGATTATTTACAGATTGCCATCATACAGCTGAAATATTGCTGAGTGTGGCGTAAACAACAAACCAACCAACCAAATCATATTACTATAGTTAATGTCATTTCATGCTGTTCTTAACTTCTTTTGAGTAGTATATTTATTCAGTTCTACACTTTCTCCATATACTAGTATGTGTTTTGTTTTCTGATGCCAGTAATTTAAGAGCAGAGGATAGGCCACCGTAGCAGCCATTGTACAATGACGAACACCATGGAGTAGTCATGAAGTTTGTTGTTCCAACTCATCTGCTATTGAAGTGACAATCAAAATTAGACCTACAGGTATTTACCATCATGTCAGCCCATCTACACTTTTTCATGGATTTTGAATGAATTTTGAAAGAATTCATGTTTGCTTCATTGAAATACCAGAAGTATATTCACAAGTATTTCTGGTCAGTGTTTGCTTCACTGATTTGTCCAAAGTATATCAACAAGTATTTCTGTTCACTGATCTCCAGTCTGTCTCCTCCTACGTCATATAAGGCAGTCAGGTAGCCTAGTGGTTAAAGCGTTTGGTCATCATGCCGAAGACACGGGTTCGATTCCCGACATGGGAACAATGACTGGAGCCCATTTCTGGTGTCCCCCGCTGTGATATTGCTGGAATATTGCTAAAAGTGGTGTAAAACCATGCTCACTCATCCTACGTCCTATAAATTGTGTTGTTTTGTTCCTCATCCTCTTTCATCATCACAGCATCCATTGATTCATCCATGCCATCTTGCCCCCTGACCCCAGTAGATGTTTCCCAGGACATGTCGGCCTGGAATGCTCTGTCTTCACGTCCGAGACGCATCTTCTATACCAATGGCTACAGCGTTACTTAAAATAAATGTTAAGGATAGCTTGATTCTTTCATATAACTATAGTTAATCTGTCATTCCATATCAGAATAACTATGGTAATATGACACCCAACTAAATACACTTTACCAGGAAGTTCTGTGAGCAGTAAAGTACCACTGGGTTTATCCTCACAAGTATTGGCCGATTTGGCTTTACTCATGGGAATATACATGATATATATCTCATATCTACATGATATATACATGATATATATACATGCTATGTTCATGATATATACATGCTATGTACATGATATATACCTGCTGTGTACGATATATACATATGTACATGATATATGTTATATCTACACACGATATGTTATATCTACATACATGCACATGATATATACATGCTATGTACATGATATATAGATACATCAACATGATATATACATGCTATGTTCATGATATATGTTATATCTACATGATATAATGTTATATCTACATATATACACATGACATATACATGATGCTATATACATGATGCTATATACATGCTATATATATACATGCTATGTACATGCTATATACATGCTGTATACATGATATGTACATGCTATATACATGCTATGTACATGATATAGAGACACATATGTTACCTCACTCATCAATGTTGTATTTTCACTCATGACACTGTGTACTCTGTATTTGTACCGAGGAGATTTAACTTCAGACATGTGACAGACATTTTCGTCCAGCTCGTATTCCACGGCACAGATTTCAGCCTAGTGGTGGTTCATCTCATTCTGCAGGGTTTGATCTCTCGGTTGTCATGGGTTCGAATCCCAGATTCACACAGCTCATGGTCTTGATTCAAAGTACCATGCCTTTCTGGTAGGTTGGACCATAGTGGTATAAAGCTTTGACCTGAATCACTTTACTAAGCTACATAGTAATAGAACTCGATAACCATGCAAAGTTGCATTAAACCCAACTCACTCACTCACTCACTCACTCATATAATTCAGCTCAGATTATCATGTTGTTACAGAGCTGTCGGTCATTTGTGCACTGCACATTCTGTCGTTCTATAGAATCGTGTTGTTTAGATTGTATTTTCCTCTCAATTTTGGTGATGTCCATTTGGCTGTAACATACAACAGTTCCTTGTGCATGGTGAACACCTCATGAGGACATTGATGTACTGATAACTGCCGATTTCTGAATCCAGTGAATGTTTCTGTGTAATATCATCCTGTCTTGTGTGCAACCATAAGAGTTGTAAGTATTAATCTGTCCTTTTTAAGATAAGACATATCCGTGTTCCATAAATCTTCAAGTAAATATTTGGGATGGGATAGCCTGGTGGTTAAAGCATTGCTGCATTGTGACATGACCCGATTTTAGCAGAGTGTTGCTGGGATGTGATGCCGTGATCTGGCTGGGACGTGATGCCGTGATCTGGGATCTGGCTGGGACGTGATGCCGTGATCTGGCTGGGGCGTGATGCCGTGATCTGGGATCTGGCTGGGGCGTGATGCCGTGATCTGGGATCTGGCTGGGACGTGATGCCATGATCTGGCTGGGATGTGATGCTGTGATCTGGGATCTGGCTGGGACGTGATGCCGCGATCTGGCTGGGGCGTGATGCCGTGATCTGAGATCTGGCTGGGACGTGATGCCGTGATCTGGCTGGGATGTGATGCTGTGATCTGGCTGGGACGTAATGCCGTGATCTGGCTGGGACGTGATGCTGTGATCTGGCGGGGATTTGATGCCATGATCTGGCAGGGACGTGATGCCATGATCTGGCTGGGACATGACGCCGTGATCTGGTGGGGACGTGATGCCGTGATCTGGCTGGGACATAACGCCGTGATCTGGTGGGGACGTGATGCCGTGATCTGGCTGGGACGTGATGCCATGATCTGGCGGGGACGTGATGCCGTGATCTGGCTGGGACGTGATGCCGTGATCTGGCTGGGACATTATGCCGTGATCTGGTTGGGATATATATAAACTAAGAGGAAACCACCTCACATTTGGATAGAGGATTCATGGTATTCATTTACTTCCTCATCCTCATTCATCCTTGTTCTCAGCACTCATCAAAGGATACAACTATATGTCTTCACTTGTCCCCTGGTGCAATGGCGGCCGGCCCTGTGGCATTGACTTGGTGGAGTGACCTCTGGCATTCTGAATTGGATTAGAAAAAAGAATCCTTTGTAAGTAGGCTGTGATATTCATTGGGAGCGTCAAGGCTGAAATACTTTGTGGCATAGGTATTACATCAATAGACCAGGGCCCACTTGCACAAAACGATCTTAGCGCTAAGACTATTTTAAGCCTATGCTAAAGTATGGGAGTTACGATCATCTTAGCGCTAAGATCGCTTTGTGCAAGTGGGCCCAGGTCTGGACAAACAACATATATACAGTTATGATATACCAGGCTACATATATATTTTTTGTATCAGAATATCTGTTTTCTGACAAAATACACAGTAGTATCAAGCCATTTTTTGTTAAATACACATGTGGGAAGGGTCTCTAATTACTTCCCTTGATGGTATCAACCTCTGAAACATGGAAACTATTGAATTTCCAGTATCGTGTCTTGACTTTATTATCAAGATACATATCATATTGCAACAGTATGTATTGCAAGTGTTCGCCCTGATTATGTTTCTAGATTTGTCAGCACCATACCCGTGCTCGTGGGTTTCACCGAAGTGGTAAACGTCTGAGACCTTCATCACTTTTAGCTTTCCTCCACATTAAGCTGACACGCCGTGATAACACTGGAATACTGTTAAAAGTGGCGATAAACCCAACTCACTCACTCACTCACTGTATTGCCAGTATAGCTTCATTATTAGCCTTGCCACAAATAGCTGTAAGATTGCTGCTGCTGCGTTAAGCAATAATTACTGACTCACTCATCATTACCGGTAGCATGTTTGAACTTTTGTCAACCAATGCTTGCCGTAAAAGGCGACTAACGGGATCGGGTGGTCAGGCTTGCTGACTTGGTTGATGCATGTCATTGTATCTCAAATGCATGGTTCGATGCTCATGATGTCAATCACTGGATTGTCTGGTCTAGACTCGATTACATACAGACCGATGTCATATAGGTGGAATATTGCTAAGTGCAGCGTTAAACAACAAACAATCAAACAAATGTATGCGAGGGGGGAAGCAGTAGCTTCAGACTTACAAAGGACTCCATTTTTTCTTCCTTTCTTGAATGCCATTGGTTGTACTCATTTTAGCATAGATGCTCATATTGACCGACTAGTCTATTCTACTGTGATTGGCTGTCAGATCTCTTGTAGTGGTGGTTTTCCATTAGCTGTTTTTGAATGGTTGTTTATAATGTATTTTACCTCATAAACAACAATTTTTCTCCCGATAAATACATGCATGGTTGTCGGACGCTAAACATGCTAAAGAAATCCACCTCAAGATGATCAAAGTAATAAATATTGTGATGGAGTCTGGCATGTTCAATCGAAGGCCAGTAGAGAATTGTCATCCAACATTGCCATGCTCACATCAACTCACTTGGTTTCGTTATTTCAGATTCAGTTTAAAGTAAATGTGTGTCAAATTGATAAATTTGGATATTTTCATTCTTGGAAGGAAGTAAAAAAAAATTCGCACTTTTCAAAAAGTGAATTGTCATCTTATAATTACTTTTTACTGGCCTAAACCATTAACTGATAGTCCTTTTATGACTGTTTTGTAAAATTTATTACCGGTACTCACAAGAAATGTTTTTAATAGAAATCCTTTGTCATTGTGATAGTTCTCATCTTCCCGAGGCAAGAGCGTTAACCGACTTTGAAAGTCCAGTTTCCACCCTTGCCGAACTAGGCTGGAATTCCTGGCCTTGATCTTAGCGCCACCAGTGGCTATTACGAGTTATGTCCATTCTATGCCTCTCCTATTGACCAATCAGATTCAACCTCTCGTATCACTTGCATTTGCTTGATCTATATTGTGATAAAACTAGTCTTACGTCGCGAAGTGCATCAAATCACGTGAGAACCTTAATTAAAAGCAAGAAAAGATTTAGAAAATATCTGTTGACAACGAATTAGCGGTGCACATGCTTTGCAAATCCTGCAGTCGACCGAAATCTGCATGACATTTTACGAACCGGATTTCGATTTCAGTGTGCGATTTTGATTGGACTATGCATAGACTCGTTAGTCCAGCCAAAATGTAACTCCATAATACCAGCCTAGTTCGGCAAGGGTGGAAACTGGACTTGTATAGTCAGTTAACTAACTTGCCTCGGAAAGATGGATAGTTGTCTATGATAAAGTGGTTAATGGTATAGTTGTGTACTTCTCTTAGCATTGGTGTTAGTCAATGTTAGTTCTGTCAATGTCTGATTTATGATCCAAAAGATCTAATGCTTGCTTTCTAGTTTTGTTGTTCTCAAAGACTATTGTACCCTTCACTTTAACATAAAACTAAATGTTATTCATCTGTTTCATCATTGTTTAAACATGTAACCCACATCTGACCCCACGTGCACAAAGGGACTTCAGTGATTCAGCTGTCTCTTCTGAAAGACGGTGCAATGATCATTTTGAGCAGGTGATCCAGAGCCACAAAGTGATCTTAGTATTAAGATGATCAACTTCCTTACTTTAACATGGAGTAATGATACAGCTGAGATTGTTGTGTTGCCCTTGAAGATCCGGGGCCCCGTTCCTCAAAGCGATCTTAGCGCTACGATGATCGTAAGCCTGTGTTAAAGTATGGGACTTACGATCACCATAGCGCTAAGATCGCTTTGAGGAACAGGGCCCAGGACTTCAGCAGCCGATGCTTGTCGTAAGAAGCGACTAACGGCATCAGGTGGTCAGACTCACTGACTTCGTTCATGCATGTCATCATATCCAAATTGTGTAAATCGATGCTCATGATGTCAATCCCTGGGTTGAATGGTCTAGATTTGATTAATTACAGACTGCTGTCATACAGCTGGAATATTGCTGAGTGCGGCATTTAACAACAAATAATCAAACAGATTGTGTAGTAGAAAAGCAGCCAAGGCCAAGTTCCACTAAGCAATCTTGGCATTGTGACTCATTGGTCAATGTTAATATATGGGTTTTACAATTGTCTTAAGGCTATGATCACTTTGTATAACAGGACCATGTTGGACAGAGCCATCTCCATGATCCCTTCTAACTTGCATAAATTAACATTGACTTGCAACAGCCTTAGCAATAAGATGGCTTTGAACATTGATTAGGGACTGGTCATATACTATAGGGAGTAGGTGGGTCATGAAAAAATGCTACATGAAGGGGGAGGGGAAGGGGCAAAAAATGATCTGGTCCGTAGGCTAATTCCTTCCCTCCCCCTATAGTAAATTACCAGTCCCGGAGATGGCTTTGTGTAACAAGTCCCTGCTGCTGCATTGATCCTGAGTGGCCCAGTGACCAGCTCACACCTCTCCCCAACACTCATATGCATCTACTTACAACTTGACCTGTATATTGGATGGTTGTCTCATTATCCTTTGATAGACTCAATCCTCACATAAGGTGCTTACAATCTGCATTTTGTACTTTACATACAAGTATTTTCTATATGTTTTGTGAACCCTAAGATTTATCTAGATACATACTGATTCAGTGTCGCAATGTCACAGTATATATAGTTATGGATGTCACACACAACCCTTGGGTCTTCTCTCTGGAAGGCTGTAGATAGAATGTGCATGATCCTCTGCCAGCACTAGTCCCGGTAGATAGAGAAGAAACAGTCCTTGCAATGCAACAAGCACACTTAAAAGCAGTCACTGCACCGTTTGATTTATTTATTCCACCTCACCTACTTACAATGATGTCATGTATGCATGTTGCCAGATCTTACCTCAGTGTGATAAAGAACAAAACTAGGAACCTGGAAGTCCCACTCCGGAGTTGTTGGAATTATAGATCAGAATGGGTCCTCAAGACTCTCCTAACAGAACCTTTGTGGAGATTCCAGGTCAGAAAGGTCACAGACTCTCTCCATCAAGAATCTCTGTAGGGATTCCGGGTCACAAACACTCTCTAATAAGAAACTCTGTAGGGATTCTAGGTCAAAATAGGTCCGAAACGCTCCCTCCAAAGTACCTCCAACGGGATTCCAGGTCAATATTGGTCAGAAACACTCTCAACCAAGAACCTGTTGTATTTCCAGGTCAGAATAGGTCAGAAACACTCTCAACCAAGAACCTGTTGCGATTCCAGGTCAGAATAGGTCGGAAACACACTTTACCAAGAACCTGTTGCGATTCCAGGTCAGAAACACTCTCAACCAAGAACCTGTTGCGATTCCAGGTCAGAATAGGTCGGAAACACACTCTACCAAGAACCTGTTGCGAATCCAGGTCAGAAAAACTCTCTGCCAAGAACCTGTTGCGATTGCAGGTCAGAATAGGTCAGAAACGCTCTTTACCAAGAACCTGTTGCGATTCCAAACAAACAGGGTATTTATCTGAAGGTTGTATGTTTCACAACCTCTTACCTCAACTCTTGAGAGCATCCATCAACCCATTTTACCCTGCATGTAGATCCTGCTACAGGGTTCCCCATTTTGCATTCTCGATATAAACACAGGATGTATGAAAGGTTATGCTGGTAAAAATTAATTAATCTGTGAAAGACATATCATTTAATCTTTGAGGGTCTATAGGTAGCCTGGGTTGGATTCAATACACTGGAATATACTGTGAAGATTATTCTTGGTGTCTCTTGCTGTGATTTGGCTGGAATATTGCTGAAACGGAATGAAACCACTCCGCAACCCAGGGCCAGCCACTCCGCAACCCAGGGCCAGCCACTCCGCAACCCAGGGCCAACCACTCCGCAACCCAGGGCTAACCACTCCGCAACCCAGGGCTAACCACTTTGCAACCGAGGGCTAACCACTCCACAACCCAGCACCTGGTTGATGTTTTCTCACACCCTGTAGATGTTCCTCTTATCAGGCAAAGGTGTGGTCGGATAGCCTAGTGGTCAAAGCATTCGCTCGTCACACCGAAGATCCGGGTTCGACTCCCAACATGGGTACAATGTGTGAAGCCCATTTTTGGTGTCCCACGCCATGATATTGCTGAAATATTGCTAAAAGTGGCATAAAACCATACTCACTCACTCCTAACTCTTAACTCTTATCAGGCAAGAGTTTGTCTGTACCAGATCCAATAACACATCTCAGACCACAGGCAGTCTTGGTGTCAGGAACCCCCCTTTTGAAAACCTAATGTTGTAGGCAGTAACATTATCTGAGAGAGGATTTCGATATTTTGGACCCCCCCCCCCTTTAAAAATGCTGGATCCACCCTTGCAAACTGGTAGCTAACAATGGCATGAAACACCACTCACTCACTGTTGAAATCTGTTCAATGCACTTGATTTAAGCCAAATGTTTATTCACTCTCCGCACATGAAATAGTAAATGCCACCCATGTTTGGAAGGATACTTAAGTTTTGAACGTTTGCTGCACAACACTGAATGACAGTACACGGAAAGAAAGTTGCACCAGAATACTGGTGTCACACTCACAAATGCAAATTGCACCGAACTAGTTTTAACCGGACAACATGATGAACAGACAAGCAAACTCTGCATGGCATGACAGACGCGTGTCTGTAACTTCACTGCACTGCACCACAGACTCCACAGTGGAATACACCAGCCCATGAAACTTGCTGCTGGATTAACCTGGGATACCCTTTATTGTTACCATGGCAACTGTTCAAAGAACGGATGCAGGATGCACGACACCGTACCCCTTTCCCGACTCGCACCATGGTACGTACTTATCACTGCGCATGACAACACTGCACGGATACCACCGAACTATGCACCTTGCCATTTACATGCAGCCGCAGTTCCTTGCTTGATATGTGGAGTCATCGGAAACATTCTCGGAATGTGCCCGAGTACAGGGTATAACTGCATTGAGATGGCATGAACAACTGATGCAATAAACACATTACAACACTGACATGGTGTCCTCTCTCGTGTTTTGTCTTGTGGGAATTACATGAAAAATATACACATGGAACATTGGATGGTGCATCTTTGGTGGAATCACAATGATGCATCGGTGATGGAACTGCAGATGTTGGATGTGTGGTGGAACCACAAGGATGCATCCGTGATGGAAGCACAGATGGTAGAGCTGTGTTGGAAACCAGGATGATGCATACTTGATGGAAGCGCAGATGGCGGATCTGTGGTGGAACTACAATGATGCATCCCTAATGGAAGCATTGATGGTAGAGACAGAACCTGCAGCAATTGGGCTAAGCTTTCACGAGAATGTCATCCACAGACTTTTTGGGCAGGAGCTGTCGTGCAGTCATTCAGGCCAATTGGGGACACATACATTACTAGGCTTTACAACTCCTGTGATTGAGATAGTATGGGAACATGCAAATACTTCTCCCTCAAGGTTTTATGAACTGTTACACTTTGTAATCTTCCAAACACACAGCTTTTAAAGCCTTGTCGAAGTCACAGAATGAATCTCTTGAAAACTGCATATGCGTTTCTATTTTATGTGAGTATATTAGTGAGAAAGAACAGCTAAGAATGTAGAACGTTGTCATGATATATGCGTGAGCACGACCAACAGACACCGACCGAGTAACTCTCACCAGGGGGGCATGTAGACTTAAACCCCCTGGACTGTCTATAAACGTTTGGCTCCACCTATGGCCTGATAAACGCAAAGAATGTGTTGTGTGGCCTTTTGAATGAGGTGAGGTGAAATGAGACAACGTCGGGTTAATGACTGCTACACTTACATTGCGACGTACAAGCACGTGTGGTTTTTGTTTGTTTTTAACGATGCACTCCGATTCATGACGGCGGTCTGTCAATCATCAAACAATCCAGTTATCGGGGTAGAATAGGTCTTCAGCAACCCATGCTTGCCGTAAAAGGCGACTGTGCTTGTGTAATGCCTGAGTCACATATCCAAAGATGCAGGGAATGATTAGTTTACTATGCCCGAAATGGCTGAAATCGGCAAAATTGAGATACCCGACGGGGCACCGGACGATCATCTTTGAGCAGTGGCCATGTTTTTGACATCGGGAAGACCGCGATGGACACATCGCAAGAAAATAACTAATTGAGTTATTCTCTTGCGGCGACCGGTGGTCCACACCCCCATCGGTAATTGATCTGTGACACATCTTTCGGCAGCCCACCAGTGACCTTCCAGGCACCTGCCAGACCGCGAGGGAATCGGACAAATTTTGCAGTGCGCGAGTGTGGTATGGTCATCGGAGGATAGCCGATATGTCATCGGCCGGGAATCGGTCAATACTCGGAATGTTCCCCTCCGGTGACCGAACGATTAAGCCAAGTCGTAAAGTGACCAACCGGGGTCCGGTCAAGCCTCGAGCAGGCGCCGAGCGGGTATCATTCATCGGACACCGGAAATGTTGATGTGCCTGTTCCGGAGTGTATATAATGGGCTGAATGGGATGAGCAGCACAGAATGTCTTCAGGATGCCTGTCCATCCACACACACTGGCCTGGCTCCGTATGCTCTTCCACTCTTCCGAAGTTTCAGACTCCACAATTTTACAAAATCAACTGAAATGTGATACAGTTCTTGCAGCAATTTCGACGCCGAACACGAACTATGATCGGCCGGGCACTGAGCGGGCTCCTTTTATAGCGAGCAGGAAACGGGCGGTGTTCATCCGGGCATCGGCCGGTGCCCGGATGGGCAACGCACGATTTGGTTTACATCGGACGGGCAACGTCCGGGTATCGGGAGATTACCGGCCGATTACCGCCAGATGACCGGTCAGTCACTGGACAGTATAAGCCTACCATTCATTCCAAAATCCTTCGGACACCCTCCAGACACTGGCCGACTATATTTGGTTTCATGAATACTGCACCGATGTGTCACAGATTTCGTCACAACTTCCGGCGACCGTTGCATATGTGACTGAGGCATAAGAGGCGACTAATTGGGATCGGGTGGTCAGGCTTGCTGACTTGGTTGATGCATGTCATCGTATCCCAATTGCGTGGATCGATGCTCATGATGTCAAGCACTGGAATGTCTGGTCCAGACTCGATTATTTACAAACCATCGTCATATAGGTGGATTATTGCTGAGTGCGGCGTTAAACAACATATAAACAAACAAAGAAACAAGTAATCCACGCAATTGAGATGGATGACATGCAATCAAACAAGTCATCGGGCCTAATCACCTGTTCAATTTAGTCGCTCCTTACAAGCATAGGTTGCTGTGAAGCTATATTCTTACCCGGAAGCCTAACGTGCGTACGTGCGTTCTAGTCCGGACTAATGCCGGTTGTTTATGATGCTCGCCCACTGAGGTCGATATGTGCACATCCCCGTGAAGATCTGGGTTAGAATAGGTCTTCAGCAACCCACGCATACTGTAAAAGGCGACTATGTTTGTCGTGAGATGCGACTAACGGGGTCGGGGGGTGAGACTCTCTGACTTGGTTGATGCATGTCATCGTATCCCAATTGCTGGATTGAGGCTCATAATGTCAATCATTGGATTGTCTGGTCCAAACTATTATTTACAGACCACCGTCATATAACTGGAATATTGCTGAGTGCGGCGTTAAACAACAAACAAACGAAACAACATAATTAGAGGAGTCGTACTGTCTTCATTATTCAAACCTTATTGCTTCTCTAACGTATTAGATAACAGGCTCTATATAGACTGTGACTTCATTAATGGTAGTGACCTTGATCCCGATAAGCTCCAGGCTTAACGAGGACTTCTTGTTGATGAGAAATAACAGCAATAGACATAAATACCAGTTAAGTCTGCCAGTGGGGTCTCAATTAATCTTCACGTGAAACGTACATTTGTTATTTACAAGAACACGCTAACGACTATCACGGACTATTATCAGCTATATGTCAATGGACGTCAACCGGAAAGGGCGGCATTGTCTAATACAAAAGTCCTTATACATTTTCTATCGACAAGCTACAAGATTCAGTTTTTCTTCCTCAAGAACAATGTACACAGTTTGGCGTCCGTTTGAGATAAGACTCGGAACGACCATGTGGCGGCTCTCATGGTGACGGCCTCTCAAACTGGAACACTCTTATGGACACTAACTTGCGTAACGGAGTCCAGTCATTTTTGTTATACAGGTGGGTGATCACATGAACATATAGATGTATTTTGCATAACAAAACACAGGCTACAAAAGCGAACAGACGTCCCATATACTCTACGTCATCGTTGGATTAACTATGGGTGTTGGTGCCCTCGAGAAATACCGACAACGGACCATCACGTTCCAAGGGACGTAAGCAGTATGGAGTGTTCAAGAATGTGATGAAATGTTGATTTATGGTATCTGTAGACAATGAATATACAAGGATATACCCATCGGCACATGACACATTCATTATTGACGTACCAGGTGATATATCACTGATATACCGGTTCCTACAAGTGGTGATATATGATTGATAAACTCGATGATAAAAGTGTTGATGCATGCGGAGATACATTTAGAAGACATACGAGTGTTTACCAATGCACTTATACCGCCCAACGTAATGAGAGTTGCATACGCGACAAATGGAGAGGGCAGGCACACAAGGAGGTGACCAATTATTCGGCCCTCAACATGACTGTCATAACGCATATGATACATATATACCCGGTGATACATGTGGTGATACATTGAGCAGACGTTCATGGATGTGACGAATTTCACTCCGGTCATCAACGTGACTACCACCATCCCTGCACCGTCATCGCTGCCTTATCTTCATCTTTCATCTCTACCAGCTCCTGTCAGATTCGTGTTAGCTTCCCTGCTTTTGTTGACTATGACAATAGCTCTTGGCGGGAACTTTGTCGTCTGCTGGATTGTGTACCGGAAACCCGCCATGCGATCCGCCATCAATCTGCTTCTGGCCCATCTCGCCCTAACCGACATATGTCTAGCGTCCATCTCTATTCCAGTAGCAGTGACAAGTCTTCTGTCAGGGCGTTGGATACTGGGAGACACGGTATGTGTGATAACTGGCTTCCTGCACGGCCTTATATACACCGTCGGCATCTATACACTGCTAGCGATCAGTGTAGACAGGTATCTTATCATTGTCAGCAGGACCGCGATGCTGACGCTTAATCGGGCCAAGATCATCATCCTGCTATCTTGGGTTCTGGCGGGGACAGTGACCTTCCCCCCTGTTGTTGGATGGGGTGAGTACCGACCGGAAGTGCAGCTTTTGTGCAGCGTGGGACGGTCACGTGGTGCGGGTGACGCGGTGTATGTGATGCTGGCAACAGTCCTCGCAACATTCGTGCCACTTCTGCTCATGTTGCACTCCTTCGTCTGCATCATAGCTACCGTCAGGAAGAAATGTGTGCGCGTGCAGGATCAACCACGTGGTGTCTGTATATCCTACAACAGAAAGGTTGTCACCGCCACTCTCGGTGCCGTTCGAAGGTTGAAAATTGACGTTGGATTCAAGACCAGGTCTTTCACGACGATTCTGCTGCTGTTTGTGGTTTTAACAGTTTGCTGGGCTCCGTACAGCACGTGGATAATGCTGAACAGCGTGGTAAACGAACACCTGTCTGTTATTGTGTCTCTGCTTCCGTGTGTCTGTTACTTAAAGACTGCCATTAATCCTGTCATATACTATTCTCGGATCAAGAAATTCAGGGAAGCTTGCAAGGGATTTCTCCCCAGATTCTGTTGGCCAGTGTCATGTGTACCTGCCCCTCTCAGGCGAAGGGTCAACCCAAGCGCTGTGTATGAAGTCAGGGAGAGTTCATCGAGTCAGTGTACACGGAGCTGAGAACATAGTGCTTAATCACGGAGATACTTGGCGCAGGAGACTTGACCGAACTATTACGTAATATTATGCTTATCCTATACAATCAATGTACGAGTAGGAATAGTCAGTGCTGTAAACTTGATAAACAGATTTGGAAGGGTGAATTGGAACGTAAGACAAAGCCCTGCGTGTGGATTTATGTGGACAAGCTATGAAGGCTCCTACAAGGAAAGACATGGGTCTACAGAGTGTGACAAAGGCTTACAGAGTGATGAATGTGCCAAGGGTCTGTGGAGTGATGGATGTGCCAAGGCTCTGTAGAGTGATGAATGTACTAAGGCTCGATAGCGTGATGAATGTGCCAAGGATCTACAGAGAGAGGAATGTGCCAAGGGTCTTTGGAGTGATGAATGTGCCAAGGGTCTGTGGAGTGATGAATGTGCCAAGGATCTGTGGAGTGATGAATGTGCCAAGGGTCTGTGGAGTGATGAATGTGCCAAGGATCTGTGGAGTGATGAATGTGCCAAGGGTCTGTGGAGTGATGAATGTGCCAAGGATCTACAGAGTGATGAATGTGCCAAAGATCTACAGAGTGATGAATGTGCCAATGGTCTGTGGAGTGGTGAATGTGCCAAGGGTCTGTGGCGTGATGGATGTGCCAAGGGTCTGTGGAGTGGTGAATGTGCCAAGGGTCTGTGGCGTGATGGATGTGCCAAGGGTCTGTGGAGTGATGGATGTGCCAAGGGTCTGTGGAGTGGTGAATGTGCCAAGGGTCTGTGGAGTGATGGATGTGCCAAGGGTCTGTGGAGTGATGGATGTGCCAAGGGTCTGTGGAGTGATTAATGTGCCAAGGATCTACAGAGAGAGGAATGTGCCAAGGATCTACAGAGAGGAATGTGCCAAGGATCTACAGAGAGGAATGTGCCAATGATCTGTGGAGTGGTAAATATGAAAGGGTTTGCAGTCAAAAGAAATAATGTGACGCCGGTTTCTGTCATTCACGTAGTTATTGTACGAGATAAGGCCTTGGTTAAGAACACTATACTACTGGCAAAGCCAGGATAAGTTTAGTTGTGACCTGACAATTAACTCCGTATGACACCATGTATAAGGTCCGCCATCTGGAGCTTACCATTGTGAAGAAAGGGGTAGCGGGTGGTCCGCGACAAGTAGTACGATGGATATGTGCGTTTCCTGTCTCGGCTAACGAGTTCTAGTGGCAAGTTCAATAGCACACAATAGAACGTGCTGATGTGAGGTACCCGACGACTGTGAAAAAGGTGACAGCAAATTTGCAAAGATAACAACAATAGAGAAATATCGTGACAATGAAGGGGATACATTTGCTGTAAAAATGGGATACTTTTCATTTCCCAGAGAGCAATAGCAAATATTTTCATGTCATGTCATGTTGAAACCTTAACGTAGCGATAGTTGAAACAATGACATATATTGTCTTCCTTAAATAATTCCATATATGATTGTTTATGTATGATTTGGCCATGCTTACCTAGCATTGACATGTTTATTTGTCTGTAATTAACTTATATCGTATTCTAACGACGTATGGAACATTCTGGTATCTACTTGTCACACCGACCTCTTAATAGACCTCTTAATTAGCAACACGTGTGTCCACGGGAGCGTAGACCTGCACATGCACAACATGCCTAACCCTCTCTACCTGTAACAAACCAAATATGTTTACCCAAATTATGTACAGCGCCAACTTGTCTCAAACGCGTTTGGGAGTTGGTTCAACTTATCCAGCTTACCAGTAGTGATCTACTTATGAATTTAGAGATATTCTTATATTAATACTGTGAGGGAAAACGGCCTGTCGTATAACTTGGGCGGTTGTGAGAGAGTAACACGACGACAGACTAAAACAGCATCAAATATGTTTATTATTTACTTCCGGATTCCGTTCAACTTTATTTTGTTGATTTGAATACAAATAAACGTTGCCTCCCAACCCCATAGATGTGTGTGATATATATGGTGTTTTAAACCCATCCGGATTCGAAACAGTTTGTGCGTAGTTTGTGAAGCTTATCATTGGTGGCCCTTGCCTCACGTTGTTTTGTGTAAGTATTGACTCTTCTTACTCAAAAAGCGAGATATTAGTATTTTGGAGCATTTTCCATTGACTAATCTGTAAACACATTATGCATGAAACGTACACTGGTGATGCGTGCTTACGTCTGGGTTATTTTTTCAGTTTACGGACGAAAGTCACAAAAAGGAACTGTGATAAAAATAAGTCTTTGAATGGCATTTAGAAGTGATACACATACGGAAGAGGGTTTATAGGTATCACCTTCTTTGTTTTAAGGAATACAGCGTTTCGGAGTAAATGCATGAATGGATGCTATGACGCAGAGAGCATATATATGTTCATGTAAGAACAGCAAAACTAATAAGATAGCAAAGGTGGAAACTTAACAAGGGAATCCAACCATTAATTATCGCTGATTGGTGATTAGCAATGGACAAATGGAAGCAAGGAGTTAAATTATCACTGTATGGTTATAGCAATAGACAATAACAACAACAATGTGTTACTTATCCAGTCGGCTTCCTTTTGTCTATTGCTAATCACCTATCATCGCTAATAAACTCTTGGCTTCCATTTGTCCATTGCTATTATCCGTTGCTGTGTCTCCTCATTTCGCAGGCGCCCCAGTTTGCAGTCAGCTCAAACAACCAAAAGACATTTCTTTAATGCACTGCAATGTACTACCTTCCTACCTCTTCAGGGGCGGTCGTGTAGCCTAGTGGTTAAAGCGTTCGCTCGTCACGCCGAAGACCCGGGTTCGAATCCCGACATGGGTACAATGTGTGAAGCCCATTTCTGGTGTCCCCCGCCGTGATATTGCTGGAATATTGCTAAAAGCGGCGTAAAACTATACTCAGTCAGTCAGTCAGACCAAACATTCATTCACCTGATGAAGGAGTAACATTTACTCCGAAACGTGGTTTTTCTCATAATAGAGAAGCTGACACCTCTTCCTAAAATTGAAAATAGTTCAAAATTGATATTGACTTTCCCTGAGCGCTTAAAAATAAAGATGTAACTGTTAATATTTTTAGCAATATCATCATCCTATGCATGTAATACATTGTTGCAAATACTTAACAAATCGAAGAGTGAGTGAGTACGGTTTTATGCTACTTTTAGCAATATTCCTGTAATATCACGGCGGGGGACACCAGAAATGGGCTTCACACATTGTACCACAGGAACTCGTTATTGGTCAGTAAAAAAATATATACCCCCTATATGTAAGTAGAGAACTTACATATAGGGGGTATACATTTTTATTTACTGACCAATAACGAGTTCCTGTGCATTGTACCCATGTCGGGAATCGTACCCGGGTCTTCGGCGTGACGAGCGAACGCTTTAACCACTAGGCTACTCGGCCGCCCCAACAAATCGAAGAACGCCTTTTCCAACGAAAGTAAATCTAAGTACATATAACTGTAAACATATTTAACACCCCGCTGGCCAGATTAGCTTGAAAACAAAACCCGACCCAACCAACTTTAATAATAAAATAACAAATATAATACGATAAATTGAGCAACACACGTTTATTCTTATTTCTATTTCAACCCAAACAATTCGTAAAAATAGTAAACCACGAAACGGAAAAAGAATTGTGTCCCAACATTCCTTTGGTTATCAGGAACAGGTTCCTTGAAAGCTTTTTTTTAGCGACAGTCGAACTACGAAGGGGATGGAAGTGGCCTCCCTTAGATGAGTCCACACTCCATCAAATCGTGTACTGGGGGAGACAGGTTACCAGCGATTAAAGATGGGGCGAACTGTGACAGTTGCCGTCTGCACGCTCAACCAGTGGGCCATGGACTTTCAGGGGAATTTCCAAAGAATTCTCAGCAGTGAGTATCTAATTTTGCCAGCTTGCCATGGTAACAGTCCAACAATTAACACACGCCTAAATCGATAGTAGGTAAGTCAGCTCACTGCTATCTATAATTCTACCGTCCCTAGATTGAATGTTTCATATTGACAAATCGCCTAATTAGATTCGCAGGGACTTATTTTCGGAAGGACTATTCATACCACATGCACACATTCTGCTTGATAAAGTTTGCAGTGTAACAAGCAACTACCCACTTCCTGTGCCAACATTCGCCATTCCACACGAATGGCACACACGGATTGTTTGCCGTGCTGATGCATGCTGGTTCAAGGGTCGTGTCGCTCTCCTGTTTGGGGGATGCTCTCCTAGCTGAACATGTGATGTCATGAGAAGATCAGAAGCATGCATGAATTATAGAATGAGTGTTATAAAGTTATTCCCTCACCCACAGGCCCCTGTGGCAAATCAATAATGTATATTTATATATATATATAAACTCCTGTGGCACTGGATTGCCATCGCAATGTGTGTTTTCTAGGTTATATCTAAGACGTTGCAAAGTGAAACTGTCCTCATGGTGTTGCGAAAAAAGCCCCCAAAAACTTGGCAAAAACATATCCAGTTAAGGCATTCGATGGGGAGTAGGTGTTAATCTGATATGTTCAGATTATAGGTGTTAGTCCCATACACTTTGCTTAAGCCTTAACCCGATTATGGGTAATTAATCTGTTAACTCAAACAGTAATCTGTGTCACACTGACATGTCAGTGATGCGTACAAGATGAACAGGAGGATTCATCATGATTCATATTATTGCTTTTAAATGATGTATTTAAGACCTATGTTGGACTTCTAATAAATAAGCAATGTACAAATGTATGTAATGTATATTTTGTAAATATATCTGTGATTTACTATGTTTATCTTTACATTAATCTAAAATCATTTCTCTGAATAACAACAGAACTCAGTAATTTAATATAACTGCAGTTCTTATGATGTACCGTATTTTCTTGAGTATAGTGCGCACTTTTTTTCCAAAAATAATGGAATATATTATTCCTGATAAAAAAAATAGTTTCAGATATAACTTTATAGGATTTTTAATGCAAGGATCGGCAAAAATTGTATCATTGGGTGTGTCTTGACTGAATCACCGGTCGATTCCAAGAAAACGTGTGTACAGCTGATTGCTGTTTCCGGCTTAGTTTACGAGAAAATACACAAGGTAATCTTAATCCCTGGATATATAACAATGCCTAGCAGAACAATAAATACTATTTAAACGGTAAATAAACATGTCTGGTGATTTTATATCTCAAATTTCGAATTTGTACTGACGAAGTTTCTTATCACCCGTTCGTTTGCCGGACTTCGCTGAAAGGGTACGGTGTAATTTTTTTCTGCGCATAATATTCAAATTTCTTTTTTTCCAAAATATTGAACCCGCTAGAGGGGGGTGCGCATTATACATGGGTGCGCACTATACTCAAGAAAATACGGTACAACCTTGTGAATGCTTCATGATGTTTTTTAAGAATTGACTTTTACTTTGTGTGAGTTCATTGGAGTATGTCACACAAAGTGAGTTCATTGGAGTATGAACCTTCATAAAGTGAGGGCCAAACTGTACGAACGTCAGAGCTTGTGAAGGACGTGGACCTTGATCTATACACAATTTTATTTAGTATGTGTGACTTCATGTTTACACTGACAGCAATACAACAACCAGCTGTATCGTGGAATAAAATAGTTCCTCAAAACGAGAGGTGACATGAGCGTATGTATGCTCAACATGCTCAACAGGGACAACTTTTGTAGTTTCTTTAGATCAAAAGGACTCAAATAATATCCTCATTAGATGAAAAAGGTCTGTTAAGAACTACCTCGGTAAGTCAGTCACAATGACAGCGCGTTGTAATACATTTACATCAAGTACAAGAAATCAAAATACATGACACGAGAAACGTGATGAGAGATTTCCAAAGTTGTTAATGAACCTGTAGCGGTTACATGTGATAGTCATCATTGATCAACTGGCCGATCATTGAAAGGTGATTAAAGATGTGTCAAACACGGATCGAGTCGATACTACGATAGTTTTCTGATCATTTAGGACCTTTAATCTTGAACTCAGCATGTCGGTATACATTGAGAAACGTCAGAGTTTGCTGCTTCTGTATGTTTTCGTGCTAATTTAAGGAATTCCCAGGGGTGGAAGAAGTCCGTTAATGTTTACGTCATTTCAAGAACACAGTCTTGTGATAAACGTATGAACGTCAAATTGTGTCGTTCATACACTTATGAACGTCAATTTCGCGGTCATGTGACAGACCTCTCGTCCAATGGAAAAGCTGCATATCGTGTAAACGTCAAATTAAAAAATTATATGACTGTGAACCATAACCCTTAATAATAAATAATATAACCAAATAAGCAGGACAGATCTACACTTTCTTTTAACAGGAGTTGCCCCTGACTGTGCGACAACAAGTTCAAATTTAGCTCCCTTTAACAAATGACCAACATTACATGCCAGTTAGCTGTAACAGGGTCTGGTAGATTTATTCCATTTATGCAAATTAGTTAACGCACATAGACACTGAAGCACTGTTGCATACTTCATTCTTGTGACATCAACCATATACTCATGCTGAGGAAAATGTTCAATGAGGCTTTGAGCCACCATAAATATCCCAGAATTAGGTCACTGTGAACTACTTTCAATGAGTTGTATGTGCAATTTCGTTTTGAAACCCTGTGGTCCAAGGGTATCTCAGGGGTATTATATCATCATGGCCATGTATACATATCTCCTTTATCATGTTTATATATGTTATAACCCACGTAGATCATTTTTGCCCCATTTATATGAACAAAACGTTGTATAACACATAACACGAAGGAGTGACTGTAGGTCAATGAAACTTGGGGCATGTCATCCTTAGGGTGGGTCCAGATTAGCAAAGGTCATGAGTGACCCATGTTTAAGGTCAAGGTCACGTTGAAAGTCATTCATAAAGTATGTGTACCATTTTCACTGAAATGCCTTTTTCTGCAGATGTTTTTGAAGTTTTATACAGTAGTTATTATGGAATGGTTATAATGGTTTATACATTATACTTGTCCTGGTTTTTTAGGCATTACAGTATTGCTACTGATCGGAGTGATGAATTATAAATGATAGGCATATGTGTTATGATGCAGGCATCCAAGAGGCCAAGAATCGGGGGGCTCGATACAGGCTGGGCCCGGAGCTAGAGATCCCGTGAGTATGCCCAACACACATGCCTATCTGTGGTACTGTCACCACACACCATGCACAAGTGCCTATCTGTGGTACTGTCACCACACACCATGCACACATGCCTATCTGTGGTACTGTCACCACACACCATGCACAAGTGCCTATCTGTGGTACTGTCACCACACGCCATGCACAAGTGCCTATCTGTGGTACTGTCACCACACACCATGCACAAGTGCCTATCTGCGGTACTGTCACCACACACCATGCACAAGTGCCTATCTGTGGTACTCTCAACGCACAACATGAACATGTGCCTTTCTATGGTACTGTCAACATACAAAATGCACAAGTGCCTATCTATGGTACTGTCAACACACAAAATGCACATGTGCCTATCTATGGTAGTTAACAAGCACAAGTGCCTATCTATGGTACTGTTAACATGTACAAGTGCCTATCTATGGTACTGCTAACATGCACAAGTGCCTTTCTATGGTACTGTCAACACACAAAATGCACATGTGCCTATCTATGGTAGTTAACAAGCACCAGTGCCTATCTATGGTACTGTTAACATGTACAAGAGTAGTATAGGTAATAGGGGTTCTGGCTCACTTCCACTGGAGCTGGATTTATATACCTATACTGCTACTACAGATGGAATTTTTTATGCCAAAATGATTATGCGATTCAACGATAGTCATGAGATTCAGCTAAATTGACTCCAGCTCACCAATACCTGGGACCAATCATTGCTTTAGATGAGTCTAAATGGTAATAAAAATATTCTTTATTATTTTTATCGATAAAGCGATATTCAACATTTTTATTAAGTTCTTCGTTCATTTTACTAGGAGACCAGACTATATAACTACACTCTTTTTGTAAATTGATAAGAAACAATTGATAACCGTATTTGGTTGGTTTGACATCACTGATATAATAAAAACCTTGTGGTAATTCTTTCCATTGAATAGCTTTCTCCATTATTATATATTTATGTTAGCATTTGTCTAAATGTAATCACACGATAGTAAACAATCTATTTTTAATCTCCAACCAGTTCTTTGGTTTTGGCACGAAATAATTGACGTGCTTGTTGCCTCCCCTGTTCTATGAACTTTTTTTTCTCGTCTTCGCTAATACCACTGATCTTACGAGATTTTGATCGAATCTCCTGCTTCATTTCATTGTATTTGGTGAGCTCCGACAGCACTAAACGAAACTCATCCTCGGATATCTTACAATCGGCCATTGCTGTCGAAATATGATCCTCAATGCTGTTCAACTTTGCTTCGGCGAGTATCCGAATACTATCGTGTTTTAATGCTTTCTTTTGTAACCTACGAGAAATGAATTTTATCGCTATTCCTGCCAGTCCCGAGACTCCAGCGGTTATTTCCATGCCGAGCACGATAGGCGCGGCGATTATAGTTGATAGTAAACCGATACCCACTACACCGAGTCCCATGCCAGATACTAAAAGCACGGTGTCAACTCCGTCCAGAGCATTCACGGCTCTGCGATACTTTTTATACAATCCAAGTCTCAACTCCCTATCCTTCCCTATTCGATGTTTTATGTCGCTTATTTGATGTAATCGAAATCCATCAACAGTTTCCATCTTTTCAAATGCTTCACCGAGCGTCGGATATAAACTCATAGTGTATATTACGATCATATAATAGTCTTTAATTGGTCTTGCTTAAATGTTTTGAGACTATACATCAATCTTATCAAATGTATATTATACGGCAAGAATATCTTAGAAAGAGAAATACTGTCACTTTTAATAATTTGGACCCCCTCGAGGGTTGCAACGGGCGATGCTCCGATATGAATAATACTGCAACGTTGACGCTCGTGTTTCTTGAGCCATTTAATCGATAGACCTGGTAATATATCGAAGGCATCTTCCGGTGCATCTCCGAACAAGACTTCAATAATAAGCGTAGAAAGATTAGGTATTGCACTCAGGTTAACTTTAATATCTTCGAATTCAGTAACCAAATTTAAAGTAACATTTTTTAAGACCGGACGACTATATAACATATGACCTGGGTTTTCTGGCAGGGGAGTGACCAACACACTTTTTCGTTTTGACGGGATATAAGCCGCGAGTACGATGCCACTATTTATTATCTTAGTTAAATTATGTCCCTTACCCATCATCACATAAGGTGGGGTAATGACGATATTCAGTAGCCACTCGATGTTTGCTTCGATCATAGTCCATTTATTATCGTCGTTGCGAGTAATATTGCACGAAGTGTTTTTAAGGAGTCTACTAACATCAACATCGCTTAAATCTCCTAGATTACCCGTGAATGTGACTTCTTTCCGATTGTATACATTATCGTGTAAGTGTAAAGCGTATAACTTACCATCGGTGCCGGGTTTACCGAATCCTTCCGTGTCTCCGAGATCGGAAAGCGCAATTGTATTACATTGTCTTACTGTTCCAGGGCCTGATGCATCAACCATTATTTTTAATATGGAGTGTTACACTTAAGTATCCTATATGTACTGGTTGGTGTTTTACATCTAATACAGAAATTTTGAGGTCTGAAATAATACCACGCTTCAATTTTTTATATTGTAATGTCGAGAATGATTCCGTTCTACCGCTATTGTATTTTTCATTTTTCACTGGAACACTTCTGAGCAGAGTTGAAGGACTTTCTAGTTGAATATTATCCTTCGTGCTTATTTGATCAAGATGGATGAACAACTCTTTATAGGGAACTAAATCGGGTAATTTAATTCCCTGTCGTGGTTTGTTAGAATTTATAATTCCTATTCTATGATGAAATCCAAGTGTAACTTCTAAGTATGGGATAAGAATTACAGTGTTTTCTCCAGAGTCGATTTTCACTGTCCCATTCGACTCATTTTGTGTGAGACTCATTCCATTAGGCTTAAAAATTTCATCATTGAGTGAGCATACGCTGTAATACCCATCAGGTATAGTAGTAATGGCTCTGTCAATACCATTGTTTTCACCTATTATATGTATCTTATTATTATCTTTCGCAGCACTTATATTGGTCCACAGTGGGTAATACGTTACGTCGCATAGAGCTACTTCGAGTTGTCCATCCGAGTTATCGATAGTATGAAGCAGTTCAATAGACTGACCATTTGTTATTCCAGGTAGTGTAACATACATATTAAATATACAATGATACTATATCATAACTTAAATATGAAATCGAGATACATTACTAATCAATCGATTATAGTAACTGCCTCTGGTGCTGAATTTTTCGTTAAATTCCCAGATATCTTTGAAAATTACAGGGTCACGGCAACTAGCGATAAAATGGTGCACGATTGGTTTCACAATCCGATGCAATTTTGGCAGAATCAGTTAAACTTTGCCGTATGGTGTGCCACAACGGGATGTGGCGTATCTGTTAATGCCCCAGGATTTATGCTAAATAAGTCTGTTTTATTATTTCACATGTATTATCAGATTAGACGTATACTTAAAGAAATTAGTGCTCCTTTACCGCAGGATCGAGCGTGGAATTCCACAAATAATAATTATGATAGGTCCGCGTATGAGCGTATTTGTAATGAATTTAATGTTTCTACGAGTAAAGATTGGCGCATTAAAGGAGCAAACCATGGTCTAGGTGTTCCGTACAGCGGACAAAGAACTGTTAAAGAAGTCAGCGATGATTTAGTTAAAAAAACTCATCAACCATTCGATCCATTTAAATTCTTACAGATAGACAATCTTTTTGTAAGATTGCATAATCTTAATCATGGCTGGGAACTTTCGAGTAACGATTGGAGAGGTTCTCTTATGAGTTTTAAGGGTGGTTTGGCTTATATTGTTACAAAATTTATACAAATGAACGATACTGCAAACGCTTGGAATGAATTTCTTAATGATAAAACGGAAAATAATTTTACTAACCCAGGATTTGTAAGATTTAATGAATCGATAAGAACTTATGTATGGGCAATTCTCGGAGCACAATCGCAAACACGAACATCCATTATCGGTTCTGGGACGGCGCTCGATGCACAAAAACAGTTTGTTGCAAACGTGGAGGACGCCATTAATTCACCAGTTGACATACCATCGTCTATAAAGCGTTTTCAAGATGCATAACAGTACGCTCAATCCAAAGTGGACTTCGTTTATGCGCCGGGACTATACATGTCTCCGAGTAATATGGAACTTAAGATCGGTCAAGTGATAGGCTATAATAATAAAATTGTTATCGCTACCGATCAACAAAAACCAGGTATAAATTCAGATATTAACGTTGAATTAATAACGCAAACGATCACGGGCGAAAAGGGAATAGTCAAGCCGCAAACACCAACTATCGCTAAAACTTCTACTAATGCACAACCATCTACAAACGCACACGCACAAGTACCACCGCATATTGAGGCTAAAAATCAACAACATATCGATGAAAAAACAGCGCTTGTAGTGGGTGGAGTCTCGGTTGGTTTACTCATGATTTGGTGGTTAAATAGTTCTTAGCGAATACGTACAACAGCCCTGCAATTGCTACGATCAACCCCCACAAGTTTTGACTAAGCCAAGTGGTGGTCTTAGCTAATAAATTCAATAGCCAGGAAACAACACTCCCTTCTATACCGGGAAGTGCGGCCGCGGCTTTCTCAGCGAGCTTTCCCAGTGCTGAACCTAATGCTTTTAAATGCTTTTTTATCCACTCTTTTATACCATTTTTATCGTTAGGAGGTGATCCGCCTCCACCTGTACTACCACCTGTTAACGAGAGAGTCAAAGTCGATATAATAAATCCCAACGCGGTTAAAATACTGGCAATTGTTATTCCCTGTTCTCTGAACAATGTTTTAATTTTATCGGCCAGTGTAGTGTCATCGTTGAGGACTTGATCGATAGTTTCTCGAATACGACTGATTTGAGAACGAAGTGCCTTTCTATTACTGGAAGCAGCTTCGAGGCGGGCCGATCTTTCGTCTTCTAAGTTACGCAATCTTTCAGCAACGCGGCGTCTACTGAACTC